TGGTGCAAATGAAACCTGGGATTTTCATGGTCCATTTTTTTAAGTTTGTTTTTCACATATGCCTTAAGAACACTTCAACTCCATTGTTATAAAGGGTGAGGGGAACGCCCAATTCAGAAAAGTTGTATTTTTTGGAGGGTGGTGGTTTTTGGTTGGTTTTTGGTTTGGTTTTTGGCTTTTTTTTTGTTGTTTTTTTTTTTAGTTCGGTTTTAGTTGCAAGTGAAAGGGAGAATTTAACTCTTGACATGCACAGCATCGGCTAGGTTGGAAAAGACCTTTAAGACCATAAAATATAACTTGTCCATACCACAGTATACAGGTAAGGAAAACGGAGCTTAAGTATTGGTTCATCAAATAAGTGATGTATATAAAGGTCTGTGGAATGATGATGTGGCTGGGCAGAGAAGGAAATTCTCTATTGAAACAGACCTTCCCAGGAGACCATTTTGATTGAGCTGATGCAAGTCCCAGTTTTGATAGCTCCAAAAGAGGAAAGAGAGTATACCTGATATATATTAAGGAGCTTAAATTGCAGATGATAAGAACAAAGCAGCTGTGAGCATTGTTAGTCCAAGGTAGTTAATCAAATAAAGGCAAAATGATTTGCCTTTTTTTCCTCTGTAGTAATTGCATGACTGGAAATGCTTGCAGGTCAAAAGTAACTTCCCTTGCGGCCTTTGATTATGATACCCATATATGCTAAGTGGATATACTCTTAAAATACAGAAAGAGCTGTTGAACCTTTAAACCTGCTGACCATGGAAGTTAATGGGTGTGCAGTGTCTGAAGCCTGCATGAGGAGTCTGAGTGAAATTTGAATCGGCAGCTGGAGAACCAGGTGAGGTGCAGCTGCCTCTTCTGTCGTTGTGATGTGACGGGAACCGGTGCTGCAGTTCATTTTCCTGTCTGATTCTGTGACTGCTGAATTGTAACAATTGTTGTTTAGCAGTGAACGACTGAATCACAATTCAACAGAACAGCTGGCTAACACATTTCTGGTTTTGTGCTGTGGTTTCCTGAAGGAGTGTGCAGACCTGAGGGCAGAATCATTTTGTGTGTTTGTTGTAACCCTCTAATTGCTTACTATGTATAAAAAAATAAATTGGTAATTTCTTCTTTGTTACCAGATTTCAGAGGGCAAGAAAATATTAACAATTCTCAGCTTTCAATTGTAGAACTGTTTCTAAAGGAATATCATGTTTTCTAAAGGTTCCAAGTCTTGTAATGAATGCTGATACCCATTTGTTCTTTCAGGAGCTGTGAAAATTGGGAGGTAGTTTGCCATGCAAATGTAATATGGCTTGGGTATTTTGTTTATATGATGTGCTCAGAATGGTAAAGCAATTGGATTAGTAAAGGAGAAGATGGGAGTACCCATGTGGTAGCAGTCTTCTGCTGCATGAGAACAGTGATAAGTTCATCTCTCTTGTCCACTGAGAAGAACGAATTGGCCTCATTAGCAGCAAAATGAATGCAAGGAAAGGAATTCTAAACATGTAGATAGTGGACTTTTCAAATAGGCTAGGGATAATCTGGAATTTCCTTCTTTAGTCGTTGGAGCAGGTTAAACATTATCTCTCTCTTCAGGGCAGTTGAGCAGGTAAAACAGTAAATGTTATTGCCTTAGTGCAGAATGTTGCATTACCTTAGGTCCTTCACCAAACTATTACTTACAGGGATCATTTAAGAGCTATTGGTGGGTGGACCACTTCTGTCAACCTGAATTTTCCTTGCCCGCAGAGCAAGTTAAAGAATGTCTTATAAATCTGCACAATATATCAGAAGCTGAGGCTTCTGACTGTATTAAAATACACATTATTCATTCCTTTTTCCCTGCTACATGTATCTACAGAACTGAAATCCAGAATGAGGAATACCATCTCTAGGTGAACTTCCAGTACCTTGTGGAACATCTGGATGAAGTGACTAGAAAACAGGTTGAACATGAATATGGGGCAGTATCTGTTTGAATGCTGATGGTCATTTTGTTTTTTTCCCCTTTAGGCTCATTTCCCAGCTGGTCAAGGTGGGCAGGATTTCGAGGGTTGTTTTTGTTGTTTGGTAGGTGGAAAATGCGGATTCTGGAACAAGAGCCAGTCACGAAAGAGATCTCCATCTTGATGAAGCAACTGCTTCACCTGCTGGAAAGTTGTCAGAGTTTTCAGAAACTTTTTATCATTGCAGGGTGAAGGCAGAGGGGCTGTGTCCTTGCCCGACTGCTGCTCCAGCTTTGGAGCAGTCCTTCTTCTTGCAAATGATTGTTCTCCATTACAGATCTTCCCTGTGGTCTTGAATGTTTTTTGTCTTTCTTGCTCAGAGGTTTCCAAAGCATGGAAAGCGTTAGAACAGAAGCCCTCATCTTTGCAATCTTCATGTATGGCATATGGAATTAAATGAAAAGCTATTGAAGGATTGCTTGCGAGACCTCAGAAGGCCAGGCACCAGGCTGGGGTGGCAATGGAAAGTGGTGTTATTTGCAGTGGTCACTGTGACACAACAATAAATAAAGTCCCCAGGTGAATGGGGTGAATTGTATTTCCCGAGTCTGCATTATGACAAAACCTAATGAATAGCTGAGGGCTGATGATGTGCTCTTGCATGCTGTCCCAGAGAGCTGCCCAGCCATTGCAGACTGGCAATCTCCAGCTGTGTACCAGGAGCAGAAGGCCTGATGCAGATCAAATTTAGGTTTTCCTCAATAGTGTGCCCCTAGACATTAGGGGTATCTCTTTCAAACAACAACTTGGGTTGATGGATAAAAGGTTTGTCTAATTTACTTTAAACACTGACAAAAACATGTATGGACTAGAAGAATTCTGTTGGTTTTGTCTGCTTTTGTACTTTTCTTTGTTTTTCTCTGGTGCTTATGAACCAGCCAAAGTAGGAAAGAACTGTTTGGTTAAGAGTTTACCTTGGAAGAATTCCTCGGTTTTGCTTAAACTTGTTGCACATAATAATGCAATTCTGGGAATGAGTCTTTAAGCAGCTTTCTGATCTGAGGAATCCAAGGTCTGGAGGAGGTAGGTACTCCATGGCAGAGCAGGCACATCCCTGAGGGGACTGGGGCCCTTGGAGGACCTGTGCCAGAGCAGGTACTCCCTCAAAAGGACTGCAGCCCATGGATGACCAGTGTCAGAGCACAGGAAAGGAGAAGGAAAGAGCAGCACAGAGAAACCCCTTTGTACCTGGCACACACCCACCCCACACCCCCTCCCACCCCACACCCTGCCATTTTGCTCCACCTCTAGCTGAAGGAACCTGTACCAATAACAAGGGGGCAGAGAGGAGCCTGGGGTGAAGCTGAGCCTGAGAAAGTGGGAGGAAAGGTCTTTTAAGGTTTGGCAACGTTTCCCAAAACCTGAATCAGTAATTAAATATTTATGCTAATTGGCAATAAATGAAATACCCTGAGTCGAGTCTCTTTAGCCCACACCAGCACTTGGTGATTTCCCTGTCTTTTGACCCATGAGTTTTCTTGCTTCTTTTCCTCCTGTTTCCTCTCCTGTCCTGCTTGGTGTGGAAGAAGCAGCTGGGTAAGTGCCTGGCTGCCAACCAGAGCCAGTGCTTCACAGCAAATCAGCAGCAACCAGCGACCTGATGTTGCCGATAGGAAGGCACATGACAACCAGGGGGAGCAGCAGGTCTGGCCCATGGCAGGTGCGCTTTTGTTGTAGGAAGTTGCAAGTTTGGTTTTGCTCACAAGCCCAGCTAAACACTTTATCTGTTTGGAGTTTACGCATCTTCTCTGTTAGCTCATACTGACAGGTGTTTTTAGCATGTGAATCATGGACTTCAAATCCAGAAACGCTGGAAACACAAATGAGTTTAAAGTACACTTTAAAAACACCATTTCTGTAATGCAGCACCATTGTGATAAAATGAGTGATACCTGTTGTCAGTTTTGCTTTTAGTATCACATGTTCTGTATACACCAAAAGATTAAATTTTCAAAAGATCCTTTCAGAATTGGGCCTGTGCATCTTTTGTCTTAGGAAGAACAGAAAATGAAGCTAAAATTGCCGCATTTCTTAGCAGCAGGCCAGGACCCAGGCTATGCAGTATGTTTCCTCCACTAGTTATCTTCCAGAAGTCCTGACGTGGAGGGATTTGAAGGAGAGAGAAGATTCTGATCCCCTGCCCTGAGGATTTGCCATGAGTCAGCCAAGCATCTTCCCTGCTTCCTAGCCACGTGAATGCCTCGGTTCGCTAGGGTGAGGGGTGAGCAAGCCTCCACATTGCAAATCACAGGTTCTGAATTTAATTCCAGAGCAGGTCACCTCAAATGGCTCTAATTCAAGTGACCTCCAAGTGCACCACCATAATTTTCTGTGTTGCTATTAATATCCTGCCTGCTGGTTAAGATAAAATTTACTTCTTTACTGGGCCTATGCAAGAGCTGAAGCTCTTGAACACAATAGTAAGGGTAATTTGGACTATAAGCACTAGCATAAGGCCATTGCCTTTAGGAGTGTTTTTATTCATGAATAATTTCAGCTATTCCTTTTCACACCTAATTTAATAATTAGGTTCCCTATGAATAATTTACCAATTGTTTTTCTGCTTATAGTCAGTGGAAAAATAATTGCAGAATGAGAGCATATGCTGCTTTATACTTTGGTCTGGTTGTATTAGGCAATTTATCTATAATTTCATTTGAATTAGTACAGTATTTCTGACAAATGCCTTACAGAGTGAGCTACGCATAAAATGGGAATTTACACACCTATTCAATATTTAACCTGTCACCGGTGGCTTAAAAATATATCTCCTATGCAATACGTACTTACAGAACCAAGTAAAATGGAACTGGCACAGGTGCAAAAATTCTGCATCAAAATAGTAGGAAAACATGACTGGTTTGCATGATATTTTTAAATAAAAGAACAAGATGGTAAAATGGCATGAAATGTCTTATTTAAGTTATTGGGTCTTTGTGTTGTTGACTCTCTCAGATGTCTTTAAGACATGTACTTGTTCAAGTTAAGTGAACACAAATCCAATTCAAAAATCTATTTTACTTGTTTTACTTGTCTTACTCCTTATTCCATCTTGTCTTCAACCTGTCAGAAGGAAGTAGCACCATCTGAATGTATTTACACTTGAATGGACTTACCTCTGACTGTTTTATTTTCCTGTGCCTGAGACTGGAATGTCTGTTTTTCCTGCTCTTTGAGTTTGTGTATCCAACTTTAAATTGGCTGATCAGCCTGTTGTAGTTGTGATGGCTTCAGAGGGAGTTTGCTTTGAATTAGGGCCCTTGGATGTGGATCTTAGTTTTCTTGAAAATCCTTTTGCTGGGGCACCTCTCTTAGTGAACACAAACTGGAAAGTGCTGGGAAACGTTTTATTCCATTCTATTAAAATGCAGCTCATTTAAGTAGTAAAAGGAGCATTTGTGGCCTTTCTGCACATAATGAATTCTCCATTTATCTGTGTTTTCAGTAGTTTCACCATGATTGAAATACACATTTAGCAGTTCTGGGTTTATAGCTGAATGAAGGAGGCATAAATGTTTTTTAATTTTTTTTCAAATGGTGATTAGTGCTTTGGCTTATAAACATTTTCATAATCAAAGCTTTATAAAATAAAAAGCATCTCCAGAGCTATGGTTCCATAAGTATCTTATAGGTGATGGTTCTTTTTTTGGTGGTGTATTACCAAAAAAAAAAAAATAATAAAAAAATGGACAAAACATAGTAGCTTCAAGTTCAGACAATTGACCTAACACTTCTTCTATTCATCACACAGGTAAGTTCACCTGTTTTATCACTGTGCTACTATTTCTTTTCAATTAGTTTTAATTGGGTTTGTATTGCTTGTTAGCCATGTTTCAGGCATACTTGGCATCTACTGATTTTTTTTCTCTGCTCTTGTCCTTCTTTAAGAGTTCCTGATAGGGGAGCTGATGCAAACTGCAATTCGGGTACCACAGTTGTTAACCAGAAACTGTATTCGTTAGCAAAAAATTGGCATGTTCCCCGCTGACCCTGGCATTCAATGAATGGTGCTGATCTGAAGTCTTCTAGGCAACTTCCAGGTGACATAAGGGACTGTCCACCACCCTGATCACCAGATCCAGTGTGCTGGGAAGAACAATGGAAGAACTTGATAACTGTGCACGAAAAATAGGTAAATTATGTTAATCTGTCTTTTTTTTCCTGACTTTATTTGCTTTTAACTGCACTGGTTTTGGTGATCTTAACTTGGAGTAAGCTTCCTTTGCTGGAGAAAAGTCTTAATTTGTTCTGTAATGAGTTAATCTCATAAGTCTAGAGCCAGCTTATTTATATTTTCTGGTACTTATCAAACTAAAGAAAAACCCGGTTGGTTCTAAATGATGCTGTTACCTAAATTATTGGAAATGTGACTAGGTAATGGCACTCAAAAGACCTGGACCTCTAATTCTGAAAAGTGTGTCTTAGCACATGAAAATCCCGTTACTTATTAAAGACAAGCAAGCAAAATCTTTGTGATGTTAAGAAGTGTGTAGTTTAAGGCTGTGACTTTAGTATATATAGCTATAGCCAGGTTCTGCAATTTGGAGCTAACCCTCATCTTGTTTCTTTTTATGAATTTTCTTCTTTAATGTTTGCTAGCCATTGGATAGTTTACTTTCCAGACCTGAAAATCTTTGACTCTTTAGAGCACAAAAGATATATGAAAGATACCTATATATGTGATCATGTGCCCAAGCTCTTACCATCAAAAAGGAATATCCTATCCAAAGACTCCTCCAGTTCCGTGGGCAGGGAGGAATTGACTGATCTTGGCTGTGAACTGCTACTGCTTGGGCTGGAGCCTCACATACAGCACATCTGCTTATATATGGCTGTATTTCTTCTTCAGAGAGTGGTGTCATTGGTAAAGGAGCAGCACTCGACAACCAGTAAGACTTGTCATTTCGACTGGCATAGTAACAAACTTGGTTGATATTACAGTAAGCAAATGGCATGGTATTAAACAAAGGAAGACAAGATCCTGCCAGACCTGAAAAAAATAACAAATGATGAAAATTACTCCCCTTCTTTCTAGGTAAGTTGAGAATAGTATCCTGGCCAATGTTGCTGCAAAACTCTGTACCTTAACTGGAGTTATGTAATTCACAGATCTTAAACTTCCCCAGACCTTTACCAAAATGGCCAGTTACAGTGAAAACAAACCTTTTTTTTACCATTAAGTATCTTCCTTTGACCAATCATATTTGTCACAATCCAGTATTTAAACATGACGCAGTTTGTCAGCATGGGAAACTGTTATGATAGCAAATTTCTCAGCTGTGCCAATGCTGAAAATTAAATGAGGCAAGAGGTGGCGGCTTGTTTAAGAGGAGATTGGCTGTTTACAGACTTATCAGGAGCAGTGAGAAACCAAATGCCAGTGCTGATAAAAAGAAAAAGTTTGTACAGAGCGACAAGCTGTCGGTACCGGTACACTAAGCGGAAATCTTGGCAGCTGTTCTACTGCCTTCCAGAAAGGTTTCAGAGGCTCTCAAAGTGCAAGAAAAGGATTGAGGGATTTTGCAGAGCCAGTCCTGCAAAATGTGCATCAGGCAGACAACAGTGGGAATTAAGAAGTGACTGGTGCATACTTCACAGGTGAAGTTCTTCCAGAACTGAATTTAGAACAGCTTCACAATGACCTATTTAGTTAACAATAATAAGCATTGCGTATATGTTCTGCCTTGAACTTTATGTGTGATATATAATTTCTGTAATGCCCCTAAACCTTAATGCCCTGTGACATTTCTATACAGAAGCCAGTTTTGTTTATCACTGATAATATTCTGTTCCAGTACTAATAAAGGATCTGGAGTAGCTTAGGTAAGGAAAATGCCTACAAAAGAACATACAGGTCACAGGAAACAAGGACCTTATTTTCTTTGAATTTTATTTTCACTGGCAGGAGAGCCAGCTGGTAACAGAACAGCTTATAACAGCATTCCGTTACCAGCTGGCTCTCTTGGGGAATGCCAAACACACAGCAGTGAAAACATTCCAAAACAACGCTGCTGTGCTAAAAATATCTCTTTTTATTGCTCCTTTAAACACTTTTTTTTTTTCCAGTTTATTAGGTCCTTGGCCTTTCCTCCTAGGAGACATCTCTGCCTCCTGTATAGCAAGGCAACAAGAATGTAGGGTGTTTCTTTTGTCCAAGTTGATGCCAATCCATTTCTCAGGCTGCCAGTCAAGCAGCTTAGACAGCTAGTTTTGGTCAGAATTGTAGAAGACTTAAGTCACCAAAAGGAGCTGTGTTTTGGGAGAAATTTGGCTCTTTTACAAAAAAACACTAGCTTTTGACTTTTAAAAGCACACAGTTCTGCTGTACCCATGCTTTATAATTTTATTTGTAAAGCATACTTATACTATCCAGTTGTAACCACCTAACTTAACCAGCTCTTTTTCTCAGGCTGTCTCTAAAGTAAAAAGGAGCAGATCCTCCAGGGAGTTATTTCAGAGTGGCCAAATGTGATTCCTTATCTAGGAAAATTTCTCCATTGCGTTTAAAGACAGGCCAAAATGACTAGCAGGACAAGTGAAATAAACTGCTCATCTCTCAGTAATTTTAATCCAAATTACTTAAAGGTAGAAATATTATAATTTTTTTTATTCAACTCTATTAACAGCAGAAACCCATTTAAATGGGTCATGTAAGAGGGCAGCATAACCAAGTTCATTATAATCAGTGTAAATTAGCTTTAACTCTGTAGAAAATAAGTAATTGATGATTCTATAGTGTACATCATTTGACTTGCCCTTCACCATATAGATCACTCCATATTCGATCTTAACTAGGGAGAAATTATGTGCTACAATACATACCAAGATCTTGATTATGAGCTTTCTCTTGTCCTTCCAGGTACAGCAGACTATAGCCAGTCCATAATTTTGGCATCCCGTGCGGACAGAGTGGTTCTTTGTCTGATTGACTGTGAAGGACAAGCAAGAATCCACTTGCAGATCTAATATGGGGGCCTGGTGGTCCTGGGATACCAGTCTGGCCAGGTGGACCTTACACATAGGAGAAAGGGTAGAAGAAATTTACTTGTATGAACACAGCTGGTGAATTTTTGCTGTATTTAATTATTCAGTAAGGGGTTCATGACAGAAGATAATACAACTTCATAGGTTGTCATGGGCAATAAAGACACCAGTAGACTGGTGTTATCCTCCTTATGGAAGAGACATGACCAAGATTGCCACTGGTGGCTTGACAGTAACCTTTTCTATTGTGCTTCTATCCTGTGCTAAGAAATGAACTGAGGTGGGTAATGATTTCCCCGACTTACTAGGATGATTTGTTTGAACTGAATTTAAATCCCTGCAGTAGCAGTCAATGCCCTTTCTTCACATATGTATTAAACCATTCATTTATTAAACAGCAGTCATAGTTAAAATACAATTTTAGTTACTCACAGGCAGTTTCACCATTAGCCATGACTCAAATGCATACCTGTTGATATATGGTGTGTAAGCATGTGTGGTTAATTGCCTTTCTGGTTAATAATGGATGTTGAGATAAATTCTCTTCCAATAAGTCTTTATACGTGTTATGAAATCATTCACAGAAGTCACTATCAGTGCTTGAACTGAGAGCGGGAAAGAAGGGTCATGATATCTCAGGCTAGTGGTGGATATATTCATGTATGAACTGGGGGAAACTTAGTCTCCACATCATCTCACGCATCTCTCCCCCAAAAGTCATATTCCATTCTTACCTCGTGGCCCAGCGTATCCTTGCTGTCCTATATGTCCTTGGTCACCTGGTGGTCCAGGTACCCCAGGTAAGCCATCCTGACCTGGCAGGCCACATGACCCTTCTTCACCTTTTTGTCCTGCATAGATACAAAATACACAATTTCCATTCATGTGGCTGCATTTAAAGGTTATACATTGTCCAAACATACAGAGCATGCAAAGGGCCAGCCAGCAGAACTGACACCACCAAGAAACGATGCTTCAGGATAAAGTGGTGCAGAACTGCTTTCTGCTGGGAATTCTCTTTACAATATTTTCACCTTGTGATGAAAGCTGAGGAGTAGCTCAGAGGCATGACTTTAGTAACAGTAATTGCTGATAAGGTTTTATGCCCTCTCTACAGAGCTTGTGTGATTTACGGCTGACATCAAAGTACTAACAAACATTATCGTGACAAACCTTTTGCAGAAGATACACAGTACAGTATGGCATTGGTATCTGTACCATGTAATGAGTTATAACTCATCCTGTGGCAGGCCTTCATCTTTTCGGACACAATTTAGCAAAGTCTTTAAACAGGTACTGAACTTCCTGTGAAGTAACGCATGTATTACAGTACTTACAGAATAGAAAGGGACTGCAGAGTTGGATTACATCCAGTTGGGAAGGGTAAAGACTTTTAGGCTCCTGATGGCCTTACTTTTTTATATTTCTTATATATACATGCATTTTTTATGCATTGGCAAATAAGAAGGTGTGGCCACAATAGTAGAAGATGAGCATCATATGCAGGGTACAGATAGTGATGATCCTGTTCACAGGCTACTTTAAACAAGCTGAATTGAACAGTTACACTTGTCAGGTATTACTGCACGCAGGAGTGGTTTTCCTCTTTTGGTAAGACAGAGTTTTCACCACAGTTGTTTCTCATGAGCGGAGTGTTTCATTCTTTGCAAAGTTTGCAATTTAACCTGCAGACTGAGTTGTCTCACAGTATTCAAACTTCCCCCACATTACATTTTACTAGATTCATTAAGAAAATCTAAACCAGTCAAAACAATTTAACAGCTTCTCAATGTTGGTCGCGTAGGTATTTCACTAAAGCTCACGTACTCTCAAGTTCTGGTAATACACATTGCTTTTGCAAGTAAAACCTCCAGTTTGCTTTCTAAGCCAGGAGAAAATTTGAATACTGGTATCTTAATGAAACAAAAAATATTACTAGGTGTTTTTTTCATAAATCCAGTGCAAGTATCTATCATTGTATCACCTGGTTTTATAGAAACTGGTTTTATTATATATATATATAAAATTAAATTATATAAATTATATACATATATATAAAAGAAAAACAACAATTCAACCCCAGAAATACCTTATAATTGGCAAATAAATTAAGATATGTAAAACCAGATATTTCACTGAAACTGAACTCTTTCTTAACAGTGCCTGATACTGTTTCCCTTCCTGGCCTAGGAAAAGGGAATGCAGTGCAGACAGGCTCAAGCATCCTGATTCAGCTATATTGATCCATCATCATCAGCATTAATGAGCCCACTACATTCTTATAAGCGTTTAAGGGGAAGAGAGAGGGTAAAACATAGAGAAGCAATGCTGACATTTCTGATATTTTTCAATTTGTTGTCTAAATGGCTAACACAAACATGCAAGCTTTCAAAATGAAAGCTTACCTTGAGGTCCAGGATGTCCTATAGGCCCTGGTAATCCCGCAGAGCCGTCATCTCCTCTTTGCCCTGCTTCCCCAGGAGGCCCTGGGATTGTAGGGCACGAATCATCTGTTTTTCCTGGTTCACCAGGGTCACCTTGAATGTATGACAGGAAAGTGAATTAGACAGAAGACTGGTTAATAGCTCCCACATGAAAAAAACCAACATAACTGTTAGCTGATTTTGCTATTTGAGTGTATGCTTCAAGTATTTAAAAATCTTAAATTATTAAGTCTCACTGCTTTTAATTTTCCTCTTTTAGCACAGCATTTAACAGCATGGAAAGTATATGCTAGCAAGTACATGTTAGTAAGTACATGCTAGCTGATATGTTTCAAATATTTGGTGTACAGTTTCTGCCTTAATGTCCTACAAACTGATTTGTGTTAAAGCCTAAAGTCTATACCTAACTTCTGTACAAACACCTTAGCACAGTTTTTTATGGTACTTTGCCTATTATGTGGCTGCAAAGCCATCGATAATAAGCAGGCCAAAGCAGCTAACCCACAATATCCATTTGAAATAATTATAATAATAAAAAATAATGGCCACATTTTATGTATTGAAAGTTACTGGGAGCTATTGGCTATTTGCATTTTGGAACAAAAGCAGAATCAGATCAATTTAGTCAGAATAAGAGTTCGGTGTTTGTAGTAATCCAGTGTTACAGTTTAAGTGTTTGCTAAATTTCTGGTTAGAAAGCATCTTGTGTGACAACCAAGCACCAAAAAGATAACTAGAAACAAGTGTGTTTTACTAGTCTAACTGACATCACAGCTGAGAATTCTCAATGTAGCACTATCATGACATTGATCTACCTTTAAGTGCTAGCTATTTATGTGAAAAAATCTATTAGAGCTATGTTTTTCTCACAGTACCTTCTGTTTCTAGTAGCTAAGCCAAGAATACCTTCTAATAAGAGTAGAATGTATCTATACAGAAGGAAGCCCACATGAAAAAAAAAATCAATAGTCATGAACTTACCTGTGAAACCTGAAAGATTGGAAAAATGGAAAGCAGATTGCGGCCATCGTAGTGCAGGCGGAAACAAGTTTCAGACATGTAAATTAAAGAATGGAATGAGAACTGGAATCACTTACATGGTGTGACATTAGAAACGTAATTCAGAAATTTTTATACAACTCACATGAGAAATCAATTAAGTTGGAGTTTTTTCTGAGATTGTGTTAATTTGATGCAAGTGAACATTAGTAAGATTATGCATGAATAGAAAGAGAATGGTTACAACTGAGTGAAAATGAACAACAAGTTCATAAATACCTGTGGGACCTCTGGGACCAGGTTTTCCTTGAAGACCTTCATCTCCTGGTTGTCCTGTAGCACCAGGTGGACCTTGTGGGCCATGGCTTCCCATAGGGCCTGGAAAGGAAACAGTTGTGCAGTTACATGTGGCTACATCACAAGAGGGTGAACACATTAATAAGAGAAAGTCTGGCTGCTTGAGTAACAAAAATCAGTTGGGACAGCTCAACTCTGTTCTCTCCCAGAAAGAAGTGCACATTTCCCTCTTTACTTTGTAGTCTTTAACTGAATTAAAATCTATGACTTTTAGTTTTTTAGAGGTGAGAAGGGTTTGGTATAGATAGGACTTCTCTACAGCGTGTGGAAGAAGCAGAGTATCTAGATCTCTGTTTTCAAACTAAAAGAATCGGTTGAAAGCCTAAAGCTAATGTGGGGCAGATGTGAGACTCTGTTAGTTCAAACACATCTGCGTCATCCATACCTCTCCATACCTCAATACCTCTGCAGAGAGGTCAAGGTTTGCTTTATCTGGCAGACTCAAAAGTTTTACTGCCTCATCCTCAGGTTGGTTGGGGAGTCTTCCAACAAGTTGTTGAAGCACTACATGTGAATCTGAGTTTACACTGATCTTCCTTGTTTTACTCGTAGGTAACAGGGCAGAGCAATGAATGTCCAGCCTACCCCTAATGTCTGGCTCAGTCTACAATGGCAGTCCCCTGTGTGTGAAGCTCAGTTGCATAGGGCTGGGCATATATGCAGATGTTAGTTAAAAATGTCTGAGATAATACCTTTTAGGCCTTCTCTTCCTTCGTTCCCTGGAGGACCTCTGGCTCCCTGTCGCCCTCGCTGCCCAGGATTACCGGGTGCCCCTCGATGACCGGTATCACCTGGATCTCCCCGCACAAAGATAGTCTCTCCAGGAGGACCAGGATTCCCAGGATGACCTATGGGAAAAGAGCTCTATTTTTAATATATGAACAAAGCACAAACTTCTAAAAGAGACATATTCCATTGTTTGGTGGTTTGTTGTTTTTTTTTTTTACCTTCCCTCTGGGATTTAGGAAAGCCCTTGCATGTGTTTTTGGCAATACTACCATTAGCCTTTGTCTAAGGCATTGTAAGGAAGACAATAATAGAATAGCTCCCCAAATTATGTAGAGTCTGTGCAAGCAAAAGGCAGCAAGTTAGTTACATACATTGACACACTGTTTCTCTATATTTATTACAGTGTTGGTTACCCTTCTAATCTCCCTTCCCTGTTTCACAATAGGAAGTAAGTCTCTGTACTGGGTAAGGAAGGGTTCAGATAATGCTTAATGTAAGGGGTCAGAACAGTTTGAAAGGGCTCCATTTGAGGAATGGATAGGAATTGACAACCCCTACTTGTAACAGAAGTGCAGTCTACATAAATGCTTACAAAAGAATGTCCAGCCTTAACTTTCCCAGGGCTGGATTTAAATTGGAAAGCTTTTTCCAAGTTTACCAACAAAGGCATGCTCTGGATAATGTGTTTTATCCTTCTTGCCTAGGATGAGGAGCCAGTCATCTTATTCCTGTTTGCTTTGGTGGAAACTGCAGTATGTTGTAGCAACATGACTTGTACAGAATTACTTTATAGGCCGAAAAATGGAATCTGGAGATCCGTGGTTTATCCTTTCTCTGGTGTTCACTTCTCTGTGTATTCATGGAAGTATTGATTGGTTTCTTTGTTCCCTATGCACTTTTATATGTTGTTCCACAGACAGCAACCCGGTGACTTCCAGTAGCCTCAGTGGCTTTTTACGTGATTGAATTTGGTATTTTTAGTTTTAATACCTCTGATGCCATCTAAACCAGGTGGTCCCTGATCACCTGGAGGACCAGGAGAAGCACTATCAGGAGATCTTCCCATAGGTCCAGTGGGTCCAACAGGTCCTCTTCTACCTAAAGGAAGTAAGTTAGTAACTAGAAAAATGCTGATATGTCACAGAGGTAATGTATGCTTTCACTTGTACACCAAATATACCAGTGATTAGGCTAATGAAGATGCTTTTTCTACAAAAAAAAAAAGAAAAAAAAAAGAAAAAAACAAATCTTATGCTTCCATTTACTCTCTAGTGAGTTCTCCCTAATTTGTCAAAGCTGAAAACCATATACCATAGGAGGCCTTGCCCATCCTATGTCAAGCAGTGTTAATACATCTTAGAGATGTTAATACATCTCTTCTTTTCTTCAACAGCACCACTCTGTTGACTTTCCCAGTTCATGATTTAGTAACTGAATTAAGAAATATGACAGTGTCTTCATCTTACAATAATTCACCTCACCACTGTTTTTCTTCTATGTGTTATGTAACACTGTGGCAAGGTTTGGTAGAGTAAAGCTGTCCTGGGTTCAGCAGTAGCAGTCATTTTTCTCCTTCTTAGTAGCTGGTGCAGAGCTGTGTTTTGACTTTCAGCCTGGGAACACAGCTGATAACACTAAAATGTTTGGTCTGGCCCAGGACATTGTGTGTTTCATACTCTGCCAGGGAGGAGGGAAAGCCGGGAGGAAGCAGAGACAGGACACCTGACTCAAATTGACCAAAGAGGTATTCCATACCACAGCACGTCATGCCCAGGATATAACTGGGAGTTACCTGGAAGGGCTAGTACACTGTGGGGTTGGACTAGGTATTGGACGGTGCTTGGTCAGGTGGGGGGGGTGAGTTATCAGTCGGCAGATGATGAGGTGTTGTATTCTCTTCCCTTGTTATTTCCTTTATCATTATTATTATTGGTGGTAGCAGTAGTGATTTGTGTTATACCTTAGTTACTAAACTGTTCTTATCTCAGCCCGTGGGAGTTGCATTCTTTTCAATTCTCCTCCTCATCCCTCCGGGAGTAGGGGGAGGGCAAAAAGGGGGGCAGGGAGTGAGAGAGCGACTGCGTGATTTGTGGCTGACTGTGTTTAAACTACAACAAAAGCCAATGTCATAGAAGCTAATCACAGTATTGCTGAGGCTCGAATGAGCCTCTGGAGTCATTCTAGTCAGTCTCCTCAAAGCAGGGTCATCTACAGCAGGTTGCCTAGGAGTCTGTCCAGCTGGACTTTGAGTATCTCCAAGGACAGACACTTCATAACTTGTCTGTATTTAATTACCCTGACAGGGAAAACCAAACTTTTCCCTATATTTAAACAGCATTACATCTATGTTAGTTTGTGCTCATTGCTTCTTGTCCTGTCACTGGAAAGCACTATGAAGAATCAGTCTCCATGTCTTTCCCATCAGGTACTTAAAACCTTGATAAAGTCTCCCCTGAGCTGCCTTGTGGAGGCTAAGCAATTCCCACTCCCTCAGCCTCTCTCCGTATGACAGATGCTCCAATCTCTTAACTTTCCTAGTGACCTTTCTTCAAACACTTGATTTTTGCTACTTCTATGCAATTTCTATATCGCCTAGGCTCTTAAAGAACCACAGCAATCTTGTGATACAGTTCCATCTTGAATTTGCATCAGAATAGTTGATAGATGTACTATATTTCTGTGTCTACCAGATCTCTTGCACTTTCTTTCTTCAGAAATGTCTTCCCAAGAGGCAACCCCACCTAGCAGCTCCCTGAGTCTGTCCAAGTCATCATTTTCTATTACATAATAAACAACAAATACTGGGGTCTTTGTACCTACTCCGGAAACATCAGCATTTTATTACAACAGAAATGTTTTCAGGGAGAGAATCTCCTATGTATGTATTAATGCTCATACTAACCAAGGGAAGAGCCTATATGAGCTTCATTTCAACTCTGCAGGGCACCACTAAGAAGAAAACCCTTTCTTACCTGGGAATCCTGGGAATCCTCTTTCTCCAGGAGGGCCTGGAATAGAAATACCAGGCCATCCAGGTTCACCTCTCTGTCCTTTTGGTCCAAATTCTCCTGAGTATCCTGGAGGCCCTGTTTCACTTTGACCTTTATAGGAAAACAATTATGTACATAAATCTTACAGTGAGTACAAATACAGATGTGCAGAATAAAAACACTAGCTGCAGATGTTCTTCCTTGTAGGGGTTGCCTAGTGCTATTTTTCTGGTTCTCTCTTGAAAGTTGGATATAGTTTTATTGAATCTGGCCCCAATTCATCTCTTTCAAAGAAAGGAATCTCTTCACTTTAATGCTCTTCTTCAGGGATTATTTTACATGGTGTCATTATTGTTTGTAACTTGACATGTAAACTGACTGGATTTCCTATCTGTACAATTTTGTAATCTCTAGCTATGTGGCGAACACCGTTTTTTAATGGTGCTTCAAAAGTACCTTTTGAAAGTTGTAAACAGATCAACAAGAGTGAAATCCAGGTTCCTCTTCAGTTTGTGACACAACTCCCATGGACTTCAATGGGACTGAGATTTCATAAGTCTCCTTTTAATTTGTTAGTTTTATCTTTTACATATTAAAAGTCCTGGTGACTTGGCTCTCATTGGAATCATCTGCACTGAGCATTTTCATTTTATAAACAACCTTGAAAGTTTCCAACAGAACTATATGAGTAATGGAAGTTTTAAAATTTTCCCCATAAATAACTGCAGGTGTGTCCTTAAGCACACTTCAGATTTTGACTGAAAATTTAGTCTAAGCCTTAATGATATCTTCTGGGCAAGGCAAGTATCAAAATAACATGCATCATTCCTTACACATTCAGTCATTTAAGAGAAGGTTTTCTGTTCCACGTAGCTATTTCCCTTCTTTACCTGGAGCTCCTGCAGAACCTTTTTGACCTTTTAGTCCATCCAAGCCATCCAGTCCGGGCAGTCCAGGAAGACCTGGAAGGTATTACAGGTATGACTGGGTGCCACAATAATCCTTTAAAGTCACAATTAAGGATTTTTTTTTTTTTTTTTTTTTTTTTGTCCTGGCACCCAATATTGATCAAGACAAGGTATTTTGTAATTCTTATTGGTAACTAAAGATGAGATCACATTGCACCTGAGTGCAGTCTTTTTGGAAAGGAAAATGTGAAAAAAATATGAAAATATATATCATATATCAAAATAAATCATAAGACAGTGTCAAATCAAAGCAATTGGAAAATGTACGTTTTAATCGTAGGTATTGCTATACTGCAGCTAGCAGTAGGCAGCTCAGCGTGGGCTATTTTACTCTATAGTGAACACTGTGTCTGTGGCTGGACTACTACTGCTACATGTGATTAACTAGTCCGAAATTAGCTGGTGACTGGGATGCAGACACTACCTAAAATAACTCTAAAGCTGGAACTTCTTTACAGCTTCTCTTCCAAATGTAAGTGCAATTTAATCTAGCCGCACTAGAAAGAAGATAAATTTTCACCTGGCTTCTTTTCCCTGCTTTGTAATCTGCACTTCTCTGAAAATTGCTAAAACACAAGAAGTAAAAACATAGATGGCATTTTTTGATTTTACAATGTTGAACTAACCCGAGGTTGTTGTTTGCAGTGAAGGGAAAAACATCTCCATGTCATTAGCACTTTACAGTTTCCTAAATTGCATAAATGAAGTATTAAGTGTGAAGATGTACAGTTATAAAATGCAGATGGCAGACTACCACCTGGAGGTAGGAACAGGTCTGGCAAAACTGGTGCATTATTTGGTAGTAGGTTTCAAAGAGGTTTCAGACAGAGGAATAGACTTGAGATGCTTCTTGCTCCCCAGGAGGACAGATCAGAGTGCTACTGATCATCAAGAAGTTGAACAATACTGTTAGTGCTTATTCCTTCTCCACTTCTGCTGCTTATCTTTGCCAGATTTCATTCCCCAACAATTCCTCTCCCTGCCATGTAGGATTCCCAGTCTAGATGCAGTGGTGATTTTTTTCCCACAAGTGTGAATTATCTTTCTGCCTGTTTCCTTTTCCCTGTCTAGCTGCTTCCTGGCATAGATGATGTTGGTTCTCCACTTTAGTTCCTGTGCTTGATCCTAGCATGTCCTGCAGCATGCTGCTATATGTGCAAAGTATGAATCATGGGAGAATTTACTGCTCTACTTAAGCACATATGAATGGATATATTTTCTCAAAGTCTATAAGCTGATCAAATTTGACAGCAACAAATTGTTGTAGGAACAGCAACACAAATGCCTTTCTTCAGCTGCTTCACCTGCCAAATTTAAAGGTCCCTAGTTCAAAAATGCGTCATCTGAGAAAGGAAACTTTACTGCCCTTTTATTTTTCCTAACAGATACACCAAAAATAACCCCACAGCTTTGTTCTCAGAAACTGTGTTCTTTTAAGTAAATTTTAACAAAGGAATGAAAGGAAAGAACGGGAGGGGGAAAATCCAGCCTATAGCAAACACTGGTCTGGAATAAAATTTAAACCCAGAAGATTGTTTGAAAACTTGCAGGACATTGATAATATACTCTTGTGTAATCCCCTTTATAATATGGGATATATATATATATATAATCATAGAAACAACTAGGTTGGAAAAGACCTTTAAGATCATCAAGTCCAACCGTTACCCCAGAACTCCCAAAACCACTGGTAATACAGCCTGTAATATCTTCTATGCCCTTAAGCAACTGCTCTTTAACTTTTCATGACGTTCTGAGTTTCAATGCTGCTTTCTGTAGCCTGCTTGTGCTTTGGGCATGTTCCTGTTTTCAAATTTATGTAAGAGTTGCATGCCAATTTGGGAATTTAACAATGGTATTTTAAAATTATTATGAACTCCTAACTATTTTTGGCACCCAGGTGATTATTTTAAACTTTTTTTATCTTTAGCTCATTCAGGCAAGACTGATGGTTTGGTTTACTTGCTTTCTGACACATTTGCCAACAATCCATTATAATATCAGCACTTGTAATTCTAGGTTTTTGGTTTGCTATAGTCCAATATTTCTAAGTACAGCTGAATTGGCTGACCTATATATGAACCACTGTTACTGTATTTTACAGCCCAATTCAGCTTCTACTCACACAAGCAGTTCTGGTGTTCTTAATATTCCTTGCTTCATCAAGAATTACTCACACAGTAAGGCTTGCCAGACTAAGACTTTAACTAGTAAAACTATATAATAAAGAAAATGTGATTATGCTTTGGTAGATGCTGTTTAACTAATTTTATCTCTTTTTTTAAATCTCGTTCTTCAAGGCACAAGACATTTAATGTAAGTGAGAAGCAATTAGACTAACAAGGCCATGTACTTAGCAATGAACAGCCAATTAACCATTTCACTTCTAATGCTAGCAACAATGTTTTGTTGAAAATAGCAGTAAGATCTATATTCACCAATTGAACTGGAATACAAATTCCATTCATTTTTCATTACTGGGTATAATTTCAAAGGTGTTAACCTTCTTTTCAATTAAGCTGGCAGTATGGCAATATATAGGATACTAAGACTCAGTAGGCAACTTGGTCTCTAGTAAACTGCCATTTGGAACTGACCTTTTCCCTCTGCAGCATATGTATTAATTTGTTATGTTTCCTTGAGAACTTCCGCACAATATAGAGCAGAAGTGCCTTACCATTATAACAAGAAGAGTCCATCTGCTTTAGGTTTTCAGAGGAAGAATGTGTTTTGTTTTTTTTTCACCCCTCTCGATTTAGACATCCCTTGTCACTGCAGAACTCTGCTTTTGTTACAGAAAATATTGTTTGCAACAAGGAAGACTTTTCTCTTGCAGACTATGCACTAGCAAGGAATCTGTCGTGACAGTTTAAATCAGCACCACTTAATGATTGCAAGCAATCATAAATTCTTTCCATTTAAATTTTTCAGTAGGCTGAATTTGAAAATGTTTGTCTATTGTTCTCTAACCATTTATCATAGCCCCAAGTTTTACTTTACTTTGATTTCTATGTATGGGTCAATAAATTATCTTTCCTGTCCAGGAACATGTTATAAAGCACACTATTACAGAGAGAGGGTACAAATTATGTAGTTGATTACCTTCTTTGTGAAGTATTAATGTAACTTATAATTTTAATGTATCATTCTGTGTATAGTAAAAGTTAATAATGTTCTCAACTGTACAGATGACCTATTCAATCTAATCATAACAATCACTGTGAGAAGTGTAAATCAGGATTTGGAGGAAATATTTCTCTGTTAAATCCACCAAAAAATCAGGTTTTGGAGATGTCCTAGTTTTGTCAGGGATGGAGAAAACAAAAAAAACCCAAACAACTCACCACAACAAAACAAACAACAAAAAACCAACCCAAGTTGTTGTAATTTGTTAAAACAAATTTGTAAGAACTGTCCACAGCAGTCTGCTGGTAGAGTAACACTGGCACTCCATGGTGAGAAGGTAGAACACAGCATAATCGAAGTGACGTATCTGAATTACTGCAAACTTCTTTTTCTTTCCTAAACTTCTGCTATCATATCAGCTGAGCCACAATCTGTTTCTACCTTCTTCTATACCTATTTTTGAATGTAGCCCAAGTTTCTAGATAGCGTTTATGTTACTTTTAAAAGGTGATGAGAACTGGCTTAATTCTTCTTATAGTTTAAAAGAACAGAGAATCAAAATGATGCTCACAGGCCTTTTCTATTTTCACTGCTAAAAGGATATTTATGCCGGGTGCTGTTATATTACCAGTAGTACTGCACTGCATACTGTTTACCTTTTCTGCCTTGGGATCCAGCTAATCCTTGCAGTCCTGGAGGTCCCAAAATTCCATGTTTCCCTTTTTCTCCAGGTTCTCCTGGCAATCCCTGAGGACCTGTAGCTCCTGAGAGCACAGAAAAAAAAACAACCAAACCTGTGAATATGCAAATCTATTAAGCTGTTGATTTTTATTTTTTGATGTATTATGCAGCACACTCTGTTAATCAGAGGTACCTGAAAGTGTGGGGGAATGTATGAAGAACTGACAGATCTTACTCTCTGAGACTCTGAGCAGACTATTGCTGCTGTCTATAGGTACTGAAACAGGTTCCAGTACACTTTCGTATGATCTCTGATTTCTTTAGCCTTCTCCTCAGAGGTGCATCCTCAGCTGCATTTTCCTGTTCCATATCTCTAGAGCTATTACATGGCACTGTTTTTTAAACTTCAGCATTACCTGGAAGTCCAGGTATTCCTGGGTTTCCAGGGTCACCCTTGGATCCTGGTCTTCCTGGTTGCCCTTGGATACCTGGTGAACCCTTGTCTCCTGGGAATCCATGGAGTCCTTAAAGAACAAAAGAAATACCTGGCATTTATTTCTTTAAATTTGTCCATTGTTCATCTTATTATAAGCTTAAAAATATAAAAGTTCAGTAAGTTTCTTGTCTAGAAAAATAATGTTATTTAAATACTTCAGATACTTGCATCCACTTATTAGCAATGAATTTTTCTGATCTCTCTGGTGATATCTGAAAGAGCAGAAATGACTGGTAGGATATAGTTAAGCCAGGTTTTATTCTGGTAAGTACTGGTATGTTCATCAGTGCTGTACTAGACAACAGTAGGCTATACCTCCCATTTTCACGCTAGCCATATTGCACACTGTGATGCCTCTCCAGTCCTTGGGTTTATAACTACAGAAAATAGCCCTCAGTGTGCACAGGAAGCAGAGCTCCTTTTCTGCTAACAAAACTTAGAGAAGATAAGTTCTTAAATCCAATTTTTTCTTCAATCAGACAGAGGTACCTGGTAATCCTGGATCTCCAGTATGCCCTTTTGGACCATGTGTACCAGTCAGAGGAGTGGGGTCACCTCTCTTGCCTGTAGAGGTACAATGAGTTTTATTTAGTACAAATACTCTTTTCATCCACAAAATCAAAGCTGGACAATTTTGTAAGATCAGATAATTTACAGATATTAACAGCTGTACAAGGGACCAAGAGAATACCGAATGAAAAATGCTTTGGCACATGCAAATTATCTGCCAGCTCAGCTTGTCTTAAAGTACTAACTCGGTTTCTGTTTAGTATGGCTCAGGGCAGCATTAATGAAAATTTTCCATAATGAAAAAAAAGAAAAACAAAAATTATGGGAACTTTCCCAGTACTGACAGCGTATACTGAAAAAGAAAGATACTGCATAAAATCCCTAGAACACTTTAATAAACAGAGAACTCCTTACATAGGTTTGTGAGGATGCGCAAAATCAATACGTTGTGAGTCTATTTACCCAGTAAGGACCTTTCAGGGACTAACTAGCCAGGGACTTAAAGGCAGCACACCTCCTTCTTTCTGTCTTTGCTGAAATTCCTGTTTATCACAGAATCAATAATTCCGAGCGGTTTTGCCTTGCAATATCTCTTCAAATGTCTGACCTCTCCTACCTATTCATGCTGCCTTCAGCTTCATTGTCTGATTTTGTTGTGAACAGTTAAGAGGAAATACCAAGTTCAAGTGTTGCTAGAAATCTCCTGCCATAGCAATCCCCACCTTTATTGGCTATTTCCTGCTTTTGGATTAAGGATAAGTTTTCCAGAAAATTTGTTTTCAATGCATTTCACACAACTTTTCCTTATATTGAATATTGTTCTTTACTTTTTCTTTTTTTTTTTTTTTTGTCTCAGGTCAGACTTGTTTCTAATGACCTTTCTGTTTTAATTTTTTCCCTCCTTTCCTATTTTCTCTTTTCTAGTAAGTACTCACCATCATCTGTCAGAGCATATGCATCCTAATAATAGTGCTCTTTTCCAAAGCATGTCAATATAAATTACCTTTGGATCCTTTTGGGCCAGGCGGTCCTGGATTGCCAGGGATTCCTGGTAAGCCATGGTCACCCTGTTGTTTTTTTTTAAAACACAAAATAAAAGTGTTTGACATATGTGTAGCAGGAATGATCTATAAGCACATTTGGTTCTCTTACACAGGTAAACAGATCAGCAATTAATATGAATAGCAAAACTCTATCTTCAGCTCAACAGAAAATCATCATGCTGTCTTTGTTTATGTCTAACACTGGCCATTAAGACTTCCAAGAAACTGTAGATTAGACTTGGTAATCATTTGGAATTTGTGCTTTTACAGTTTATGATAAGTCTTGGCTTGAGCAGCTTAAATTCCCCACAGATGGCTTGAGTAATTTGATTTAAAAGGTACTATAAAAATGTACCAAATACTGTTGTATGCATCCCAAATTTACTATAAACATTAACCAGAAATATGTTGTGATGTAACAGTAAAAATATAAAGATTTATCAGTTTTTCCTTTTGAATAATGACCTATAATCAGCAAAACAAAGATTATCTCTTAAAAAAAAAAAAAATAAAAGACAATCCAAGCCAAGCAATGTCCATTTACCAAAAAAGCAACGGTGATTTTATGTTTCATGTAATCTCACTGCCTGTCTACCTAGCATAGAAGCCAGTGAAGAATTTTGCTTTACATCCATGTGTGATACATGTGTGGTTTCGCATACTTATTCTTGAGCAATACTGCTTGCCTGGATTCTATTTGGTGCAAATTTTCAACGTGGGCACAGAAGACTCTTGTTCTCTCTTGTCTGTTGGCTTGGCTGCTCCATGTAGCAAGATGTGAAGAAGCAGCTGTATATTAATTTTATACTTGTGCTGCTGCTGTGTCATGATTGTGATCTGTTAATCTGTTTGTAGGAAAGATGTTAACGACTTGATTGTGCATCCATTTTTTCCTCCCTCCTCTCCCTGAAACTTGTGCAGTGTAGCCTGGACTTGCACTAAGTGGCAATATGACAAAATCACAGCATGCAGCAAGGGAAGAGGGGAGAGGCCCTTTGTTGACTCTGATTAAAAGGTAATCAAGGCATTGAATTGTTACATTAAGGAGTTTACCTTTCCTATTATACTGATAGTCTCTTCTGGGGAGGAACATCTAATGGGTAAGTAAGTACATCTAATGGGTAAATACAATAGAATCCTTCATCATATTTTTTGGAGGCAGGATATAGCTGAAAAGTCCAGGACATTTCACTACTACTTTGTTTACCTGGTCACCTGGTTGTCCTTGAAAACCCGTAATTCCTTTTAAGCCCTTTGGTCCTGGGAAACCCTGTGATCCTGGAAACCCCATCAATCCAGTGTCACCATGGTCACCAGGCAGTCCTGGGACACCATTCTTCCCTGGAAATCCTGGGGTGCCTCTGAAACCAGTATTGCCTTTTTCACCTGAAGTTAATTGCAGAACAAGATAATGACCAATATAGTCAAGCCATTATTTGACACGTATAGCTATGCTTTTACACTATGTGTATTGCCTTAGTAAATGTCAAAAGAAACTAGACTGCTAGTTTAAGTTTCTATAAACAATATAAGGCTGGGCTTTACTTTATGAACTTACCTCTTTCACCTCTAAATCCATTCTCACCAGGAAACCCTGGTTCCCCATTTTGTCCTTTCTCAAGATGCATGTTAATACAGCCACTGTCTCCTGGAGGCCCTCTTTCACCTTTGAGCCAAACATATGGAATGGAAGTAAATCCTTATGAGTGACATGTCCTGAAAATTAATTTTAGTAACAACTTCCCTAACAGAGAAAGCCTTCAAATACTAATGCAGTTCTCAGTTGTTTCAGCAGGCTCACTACTAACAGAATTTATTACCCTTCTCTTGCTTTTTAGTTGATTCAGTAGTAACCCATGTGATGCTAAATCAGAATTATTCCCTTCTTGTCTGGAATATGAAAGATGGCAATTGTATTGTCCATTTCACAGTGTACTGTCTGTGATTGCACCTTGGAGATGGTTATTGTCTTTCCTACATTAATATTTACAGATTTTAAAGAACACAAACAATATGATAGAAAACTAGAAAAAAATCTAAAGTTTCAGATGTGTGCAGGACAAATCTCAAGGTTTATTTGAATAGGTGATTAACTCTGTTTAATTTAGTGTTAAATGAACCTATTGATCTCAGTGAAATTTATTTTTCTTTCATTATATTTCATTATGCATTTGTGAGATTAACAGGATTTAATATTTAGTATCTCTGAAAATAGAAGCGAATATATCTTTACAGCAAGAAGAAAAAGTAAACACATTCCTAACACACTAGGAACGAAACCAAACATAGCAGTAACGTAACTAGAGAATGAAGTGGATTTTTACAAACCTTTTATTCCCATATCCCCACATTCTCCACTAGGCCCAGGTGGACCCATTTCTCCTTCTTCTCCTTTAACACCAGAGATCCCCATTGGGCCTTGTGTTCCTGGGAGTCCTGGGAATCCTTGGGGTCCTTGAATCCCTTTGCTTCCTGGTAATATTAAATGCTTTATTTACATATTCAGCATGCTATGCTGTTCCTGTCATATTCTAAGGAAGAGTATAAAGCAAAAGGCAGGGAGTTTAGAACGGCTCCTTAGGAAATCAGCAAAGCTAGAGAACCAATGGAGCATGGCTTCATTCCAAGATCAAAGTTGTCTTGAAATCCAGGTTGACTTGAACCAAGCATCTTCTCCCTCCCTGCTACCTCCCCCTTGGAGGTTTAGGCTACATTTACTACTAAAGCAGTTATTCCCAACATCTTAAGTACAGTGCATAGTCTAAGACACCACCAGATTTTGCATATGGCTACAGGTAATCATGACTTCTATGTCCAGATGACAGACAAAAACAGGATTTTGCTATAGTTATTCAGAAATCTTGCACATTAGCCAGTGATGATTTGGGACTAAGCTCACATTTTTTTTTAAGTATTACACATAATGTGAAGCTATTTCTCCACTTACTCATAGAATCAGTCATTTAGGTTGGAAAAGACCTTTAAGATCATTGATTCCAACCATTAACCTAGCACTGCCAACTCCACCACTAAACCAGTGCCACATCTACACATATTTTAAATGCCTCCAGAGATGGTGACTACACCACTTCCCTGAGCAGCCTGGTTCAATGCTTGACAACCCTTTCAGTGAAGAAATTTTTCCTAATATACAATCTAAACTCCCCTGGCACAACTTGAGGCTGTTTCCTCTTGTCCTACAGCTTGGTGCTTGGGAGAAAAGACCAACAGACACCTTGCTACAGCCTCCTTTCAGGTAGTTGTAGACAGCAATAAAAGGTCTTTCCTCCAAACTAGGCAACATCAGTTCCCTCAGCTGCTCCTCCTAAGACTTCTGCTCTAGACCCTTCACCAGCTTCATTGCCCTTCTTTAGACATGCTCCAGCAACTCACTATCTTTCTTGTAGTGAGGGGCCCAGAACTGAACACAGTATTTGAGGTGTAGCCTCACCAGGGCTGAGTATAGGGGGATGATCACTTCCCTAGTCCTGCTGGTCACACTATTTCTGATACTAGCCAGGATGCCGTTAGCCTTCTTCGCCACCTAGGCACAAGCTGGCTCATGTTCAACCAGTCATCAACCAACACCCTCAGGTCCTTTTTCACCAGGTAGCTTTCCAGCCGCTCTTGTCCAAGCCAGTGGTGTTGCATGGGGTTTTGTGACCCAAGTGCAAGACCCAGCACTGAGCCTTCTTGAACCTTGTACAATTAGCCCTGTCCCATGAATTCAGCCGTCCAGATCCCTCTGTAGAGCCTTCCTACTCTCAAGCAGATCAACACTCTTCTTCACCAAGTCATCTGCAAACATAGGGTGCACTTGATTCCCTTGTCATTGATAAAGACATTAAACGGAACCAGGCCCTGAGGAACACCAGTTGTGACTGGCTGTAAAACAACTAAAGCACCAGGATGCACCAAGATGCATCAAACTATTTCCTTTGTTTTTATTGTAAGAGAAAGAACAGAGGATGCTATTGTTATTGCCTCTACCCTGCTGCAGGGTCTTATTCTTGAAGCTGGAAAGAGAGGAGGGTGCAAAATATTTCCTAGCTTTAACAGCAGTAGAAATAGTTCCCCCTACAACAGAAGTTATAGACAAAGTGCTTTGCAGGATGTTTAACATACCTGCTTTTCCTGGGAAACCAGGTGGTCCTTTATTGCCTGGAAGTCCTGGAAGTCCTCGAGAGCCTGGAGGACCTGGGGGACCTTGTGAGCCAGGAGAGCCTTTGAGACCTTTGATTCCAGGTGGCCCAGCTAGGCCCCTGTCCCCCCTTTGACCTTTAAAGCCTGGTAAGCCTAAGAACAAGAGATTTAACCAATGTATATAAATGCAAGGCAAGGGTTCACCAATTGTATCTAAAAAATGTAAAGTGATAGCTTTTGGTATAAATTTGAATATCAACAAACACAGCAAAATAACTTGGAAACTTTACTACTGGAGTACTGGGTCTGCCCAGATTTTTAACCTGAAATGTTTTTCTTGTATTTCTTTAATGAGAGACATGAGTAGAAGCTCCCTGTGAAAAATCCTTACTAATTTGTAAATACTTTTGGTGTATATGTCCCCTAGCTCTCCCTAAAAATCTTTTTAATTTAAGAATAAGGAAGATAAAAGTATTACAGTAATGACAAGAGCTCAGTTAAGTTACTCAGGACAACAGAAAATTGATAACTCTTCCATTTGTTACTTAACTGAACACACTGTGATTTGGCCAGTTAAGGAACAGTGCAAAAAAGGGAAGTGAAGTTGGGAAATGTCTGATATGCACACTGTACATTCCCTGAGTTTAAACAAATGTGTAAAACATTAATGTACACCCCTACTAATGAGCAGCTCCCATGGACATATTTGTCATGTCAGCCACAAAAATCATGCGATTAAATCTGCTAGAAAAGATGTGCAGAGCTTAGAGCAGTGAGACAACCTTATGGATGTTGTGTACCTTGAGGTCCTGGCAGGCCCATGACACCTACAAGTCCTGGTGGCCCTGGTAAGCCTGTGTCACATGGTGGACCAGGGAAGCCTGGACAGCCTGGTGCTCCTATATCACCTTCTGGTCCTCTAAAACCTTTGGCACCTGTAAATCCTGGGACACCAGGCTGTCCTGGAAACAAAAAACATTGTAAAATATTTACTTCCACTACCATCCATCAGAATTCCTAATTGTTATTTTTAAACTTACATGTTCAGTTATTGCAATATCTCACTTATCCTCTATTTTTGCACAGCTTGTGAAAATTGATGCTCTTCTGCAATTTAGAACTGGCCACTGTGGAGAGCTTCTTCCTTTAAGCTAAATAAAAATTCAACCCTCGTCCCTAGGTGAGGATGACTTTATGGATCAATAAGCAAGTTTCTGATGTGTAAGTGCGTAATGGAAGGAGCTCACTAGCCTGCATGAGCTGCACAGCACTGGGGTCAGTTCTATAGGTATTTGCTGTGCAGAGGAGGGTGTGTGTCTGCTTTGGGCTGGGGAAGAGGAAGACCTATAAAAGGAATCAATAGTATCCACTATGAAGAGGGAAGTGGCACCATGGAGACATCTGTAGCAAGACCAGTGTAGTGCACAAGATATTGAGGTTTACATTGAATAACTCTGGGCAAAGAAATTAACCTCTCTCTCCCTGAGTGTTCAACTGCCTTTTGCCAGTCTTTTCAGATTTAAGTAAAGTCTGATGTAGGGATTGTCTGTATGGTATAGCAGGAGGCCCTAAACACAGATGGCTGCCAGGCAGCAAGTAACAGCAGCAAGAATAGGAAGCTGCAGTGTTACTCCACAGACTGGGTAAAAGCATCTTCCCTTTCCTGCAGTGCAAATCTCCTTAGTGGCTGGTCAACCTTAACTGTAAAAATGTAAATGAAAAATAGGGCATACCATTCACAGTCACCATTATGGATCCAGGTAAAAGAGAAAGTTTTATCTGAATCAGGACCAAATTTGCACAGATTTTCCTCTTTGGACACATGGAAACGCTTTATAAAAACTGGCTCATACCTTGAGGCCCAGGAATGCCTGGATCACCCCTTGCTCCTTGTGCACCAGGGGGTCCTGGCAGTCCCCTGTTGCCTGGGATTCCTGGAGGACCATATGTGACATCACCTGCAACACCTTTCTGACCATCTACGCCACGTGGACCTGCAGGGCCATTTTTACCATCAACTGTAGATCCTCTTTCACCTTCATCACCAGGATCACCAACTTTGCCTCGAAAGCCTGTTGATACAATTTTTAAATTCAAATAACGCATAATTCAGTTTTGTTTGTGGTTTGTTTGTTTGTTTGTTTGTTTCCCAAAAAAACTGAGGAATATTATAATTTAACCAGGATTATGACTTTGCATCAAAAAATAACATACATTAAGTTTCAGGTTTCTCATTTACAGCTAATGACACATGAGAGTTGAAGGAGGTAATTATTCTTATGGGAAGTGGCAGTGGTTTCCTTGGGGGCAGCATCTATCTTGTGTGCTCTCACTCTTGTTTAGTTCAATCTGTTTGTTAAAATGATACTACTTGTTTTCAGTTTTCTGAGAATAGTTCCTCTCTGGACACTGAAATTTAAGTTTGTTGCAGCACCTGCAATGCTGCAGGAAGGAAAGGGAAGCTGGTAAGGATTTCTTTTCCATTAGCTTTCATGAAATGCTCTTCCCTGATCCTTTCTATTATGTTAGCTACCTTATCCAGCATTTACGCATTACAGCTTGACCAGCAGTCTCCTGGATTGAGAAAACACAATTTACCTTCTGGCCCAGGGATTCCTGCTCCTGGCCTGCCTCGATGGCCTTTTTGCCCATCAAAGCCGTTTGGTCCTGGATGACCGGGGAGTCCTTTTAAACCCTTTGGTCCTGGAAACAGAAAGAAAATATGTAAAAACTGACAGAGCTCTAAAATGTGTGACCTAAGGAAAAATATTGCATTTTATCCCATGCAAATTCATGTACTTTTGAAGACAAGTGGATTTCATCTGCTTCTAATATTTTGGGCAAGAGCAGCCACACAAGTCACAACCAAATGCATGTTTGCTGTTTTTCTAAATGGACTTGTTTCCTAATCTATAAACCTCAGCCTGCAAGTCACCAGAGTAAATTAGAAAAAAACATGTCTCCTATAACATTTTAATGTTACAGGACATAAACAATATTAACCTATTGACATTAATGAGTGTCATCGAGTGAATGGCAGATGTCAACTCCAAATCTTACATTCTTCTGTGCTACATGCTGCTTCTGGAATGGTGCAAATGAGCTCAGTATGCTAATCCCTGTTCTTTCATGTCTGTATAAATTTTGGCTACCACCCACAATACTGATGTCAAAGAACTGTGTAATACCATATTAAGCATCTTGAAAATCCAGTATCAGACTCCATTTATTCTGATGAGGATTTTCCGGAGTATTTCAAATGTTTTGGAGGTGATCACAAGCAACATTTTGCCAGTTCCTGGATGAGTTCTTTGACTTTAAATTAAGCTGAACAAGTTGAAGTACTGGTAGTAAGTATTCAGATTTCAGGGCTCAATTGCAACTTGCCCTAAGCAGCAGAGTTTTAGAAGTTACAGACTTGCAGCATATCTTTGCCTTGCACACTTTTTCTTCCCCTGGTGTCCAGATGTACATATTCTAGGTCTTATCTGACTCAGCCATCTGCATATTTTACCAACTGTCTCATGCATTTTAATTGAGGCAGGACAGAGTTTCAAGTGACCGTCATTTAATCATTTCTGTGGAGGCAGCCTGCACACCTTTTGATCACGCAAGCTGCAGCCATCTGGCCCATGTGTCTATTAGATGAATATATTCCTGTGTATTTGCAGTTTTACATTTTGAGGTATATACCTGTTGAAAAACTAGAACAGTGTATCTTTCTAGGATAGCTTCTTTTTAAATTAGCAATTAAAAGCTCTATTTTAGTTAAACCCCAAAATTCTATCTGTAAACATACCTTGAACGCCTTTAAAACCTGGGGGACCTGGATTTCCAGGGTAAGGTAATGTAATGTAGGCAGTCTCACCTGAAGCAAGAGGGAGAAAGAAAGTGATATACTTGGTTTTAGAATAAATGGAGTCTTAACATTTACTGTAATAGTTCTGTGGAAGTAACCAACTAGATGTGCAAAGGCAAAGAGAAGGGACTTTTATGCACATTGCTATTTGCACGTTACTTAAGGTTTGATGGAGTATCTTAAAATATATTTTTTACACTTATTTTGTATAGAATATTGGTAATGATTCAAATACAGCTGTGTTCTGTTAAGATGAAGATTTTTTTTTTTTTACTTGTTGCAGAAATTTGTCTTCATGATAGACTCTGTTGCAAGAAAGAAATAATATTTTCATCTCAATTCTATGTATGTTTCTGGTTCATTTGTATTGCTATCAGTATAGATTTCTTTTTATTTCTAATTTTGGTAGGGATTTAAAGAAAACAAAACCAAACAGACCAAGCCTGAAGTGTCAGCTGTATTTTCCTGCTCCTTCAGCAAAAAAACATTGCCTTGCAAATCCTTACACTCAGGAATACTGTTCACTCCAGAAAATAATTCCTCTGACAGTGTGCACTCCAAGTGGCACTTTGCAGGTTTAAGGCTTCTAGCAATTCATAGTCTCGCTAGTGTCTGTTGCTAAATGCTGACAATATTATACCTTTCAGTGGCCATAATTCACATGACCACTGAGCTTGCCAAAATTGATTTTTCACTATAAGTGAGTAACACTGTATAGAATACATATGAAACTGTAATGGATGCTACCAAACGTGTTTTGTTATTTTGTTCTTAATGTAAACATTCAAATTACCTTTCTGGCCCTTTGGACCAGGTGGCCCAATATTACCAGTATCACCAAAGTCTCCACGGCTGCCTCTGATTCCTGGAGGGCCAGGAAACCCAAAACCAGGCAATCCCATTTGTCCTTTTACCCCAGGAAGGCCTGGGACCCCAGGGAATCCTTTATCACCTGGCAGTGGTACTCCAGAATCACCCTTAAAGAAAGAAATTGTTGATAAGAAATAACAAGACCTAATTTCTTTCCTCTCTTTGATTATCAAAAGCCATGTTAGACAATTATTTAGAGAAACCACTCTTCCACAATTAAGTGACATGGATGATAGCAGTAGTTTTAAATATTCAGAGGCAATAGGAACAAAAGGTAGAGTTTTGTGGTTTTTTAGGTCTTCCTGATCCCATAATATAGGCACAGAGTATGCAAAAATTACATTCAGGAATATCAAAATAAACAGTAATACTTCCAAGGAAATTTTCAACTGATAAAAACTATGGGTTTTGGTCTAGGCTAACATATAATGATAGAAGTAATTAATGTGTTAGGAATTTGGACTAAAATGGTACTTTTCATTAAGTAGCTGGCCTTTTCATAAGATAATATGTTAACTGAAATGAAAAAAAAAAAAATCTGAGAAAGGCAAACGTACCTCAGCTCCTTTTTCCCCAGGCAATCCTAGTTCCCCATCTCGGCCATCATTACCTCTTTGACCTGGAAATCCTGGAACCCCAGCAGGACCTCTTTCACCCTTTGCTCCTTAAAAAATTTAAAAAAAAAAACAGAAAAAATGGTGTAATAATTGTAGTAAGTTTAGCGGGGAGGGGGAGAGGTAATTTTGCTCAGGTAAATGAGTAACCATCATCACATCAGTATGATAATTTCCAGTTCTCAGGAAGGCAGTACATAGTCAGACACTTTGTGGAACAACAGGTCTGTCTGTAAAGACTTGTTTACAGGCATCAAAAGAATGTGGCTTTTGTTCATGCTATATACAGAGTGAAAATATTTTGTTATTCAAATCACTCAGTTTTGTTCTTAATTTCACTGAAATTAAGGTATTGCGATGCCATATGATGCAGAATATTTGAATCAATATTCTCACAAGGGTTGTTCTGGTTTTTAGTTTTATTTACCCCCAGATTTCTCTTGCACTGATATTTATGAAAATGTAATTTTTGCATAAAGGACAATAAAAATATTCTAACCCAAAAATTCATTTTGCTGTGTCAAGAAATGCTTTGCAAATAAACAGCAAATGTTTTGCCCTGGTCCAACATCTGTAAACAAACACAGGCATCCAGAGCTAAGCTAATTTTTCACAAACAATAAGATGGACAATCTTTTGTCTGAATAATTAGCTTAGCATTTCTAACTAAGCTTTGCCATTGGATTGTTGTACTTTGTTGTTCTCTGGTTTTTTTGCTTTTGCAAATCATAACCATAACTGTGGAGAGGTTTTGATCTGTTTTAATTGTAAGAATTTCAGTTGTGGAACTGGTGGCCTATTGTTTCTCTTCAATGCCTGATCAAGGGCAATTTTTAGAATTAGGAACAGGAATCTGGATAGCCATTGAGACTTTGAGTTTTTCCCAAGGAGGGTGTTGGTGGTTTTAGTTGAGATAACAGTTAGGTTTACTGGCATATGGCACTTCAAGAGGTGGCTGCTGTACAATATTTCTTTTGCTTTCACAATAACTGTATTCTGCTTAGTCTTTGCTATACAAACCTCTGAAAGACCCTGGTTATCAATCATGTGACATGTAAAGTCATTTGTTAGCATTAATAACAAGCTGTTAAAACTGTTTTACAGCTCAGACATACAGTAAAAAGCACATAACACTCTGTTGATCTTGTGTTTAGCAAGAAGAAAATGAACAAGATGGTACCAAGAAAGCAGTTTAGATATACATGACTTCTAGGCTTCAGTAACTTACTAAACTAATGACTTTATTAGAGTAGATGAATATGGTTTTCCCACACTATTGCTCGGGCAGTGTATAGGAAACCAAAAAGCTAATGATGAAACGTGTGTTTACCTTTTATTCTAACTCTTCCTGGATCACCTTTCTCTCCTTTTTCACCATGTTGTCCAGCAGAACCAGGTGGCCCCTTACAATTGACAAAAAACGTAAAATTGCCAGTTATCTCCAGCAAGGAATCAATGTGGGAATTGAGAGGAAAAATTGAGATCTATCTCTTATTCATGCATTATTTGCCCACAACCAGACCAATACCAAATATAGGATGCCGGAAAGAAATGCTTACCTCTTTTGACATCTGTAAAGAGGTGTGTAATGGTCTCTGGCCTTTTCAGCCTGACTCTACCAAATGCACAACTATAAGAAACTGTAATGCTAGAATAATTGTGTCCATGGCCATATACAGCTGTGGCTTTAAATGCAAGCATATAAAGTTACAAATGATTCATAAACTCTTCCCACTGCAGACCTCATCACACAATCCTCCGAGGCTACACAGAAGGTAGTCTCTGGAACCTGGTGGCTGCCAGATGAGGCTGTCCTTTTTTTGCTGAGAGAAAGCCTGCAGAGCTGCCAGTAGAAAATTTCATAGCAGAATCTATGACTTGACAAGTTTAGAGGGGAAAAGAAGTTCTTTTCTAGATGTTTATGCTAATTTGTGCTCTGAGTTCTCCAAGCAGAGTGCTATTTACCTATCATAATTGTATATGCTTTGCCTCTTAAAATAAACATACCAAATAAACTAAGCTTTTCCATTAATTTTCTAAGAAAGGGAACTAAAAAATGACTTGAAATGCTTGAAAAAGGGTTCCTTTTTCTTCAGACTCTGTACACCCCCCAGTGGATACTGACATAAAATCCATCTTGACCTGCTGGCATGCAATTTTTTGCCTTGATTAGGTTTTGCTGGAAATGCTTTCCTTTGAAATAACTGAAAAATCATCTTCATTGGAGCAATCTGTGCATCTTCTGTGTTTTCATGAAAAACAATGGGTATTCAAAACTAAAAGAGAAACAAGTCAAAACAAAACAAGATGCCCATTCACAGCTTTCCTAAGCCTCCTCACCACCCCACAAACGCAGCATGGGATTCTGTCCCATGGGATTCTGCTTACTCCTGCAAGGGAAATCAGATGGAAGCTAATAAAATGCATCTTTCAGCATGCCTATAATAAACAAAAATAGATAAAACTTTCAGATAGTTTTCCAGGGCAGTTTCTCCACCACTCTGCTTAAATGCCTTCTGTGTAAGTGGTAACTCTATGTTACTCATTTACTGAAGCTCACAAAAACTACTCACAGGGAGTCCTGGTGACCCCATTGCACCAGATAGGCCTGGGTCACCCTTTTCTCCATCTCTTCCAGGGTATCCCATATGTCCTTTCCTTCCTTGAGTACCTGGAAGTCCTTGCATTCCACGTGGACCAGGAGGACCAGCACTACAAGCGCAGAGGCCTTGATTTCCTGCATAAAAATATCAAAATTACATGGAAACAGTTGCACAATTAATGCACAAAAAATAATACTGAGCTTTTATTTTGTGTGAGTAGTGCACAGACCACTGTTTTCTCATTATGGTCTTCAAAGGAATGAAGCACATCACTTTTTTTTTACAGTGCTGATTAGTTGCTGTGCTGACATGACTCTACTGACTTAGACGCCCCAGTGCCAACAGGCCGTTTAATTCTACACTTTGATGGGCCTTATCCTCCAAGTTAACATAGACTTCTTGCAAATTCAGGTCTGATACACCTGGCAAAGTTCTCAAATTGTTGCTCTCCAGGCATACTTACCCTTTTCTCCTTTTTCCCCTTTTCTTCCTGGAAGTCCCATCTGACCTTTTATTCCAGGTTCTCCAGGGATCCCTCTGTCAGTACAGATCACACCTTTGAAAAAATAAATTGTAAAGCTAGTATAACTCAGGTTGACTGTTTCCACAGCTTAGGCCATGTGTTCTCCTCTTCCTTGTCCTGTTATCCTCATGTGAAAAGGTAGAGTATCTTATGAAATGCTTTACAAATCACTGCTTATAGATCATACTACAAGAGTCAGTCTGGCTAGAGCTGATGTTAATGTCCTGTTTTTTCATTGCCACTAGCTCTTCCCCTTTCTACTTCAGAACTTTGTGACTCCTGTCTTTACTAAAGGAAGCTGATTTGGGGTTCCTCCACAGTTTGCTGTGATTTTAACTTCAGGTGATATATTTTTAGGGATTTATTATATGTATGTTACTTTGTGGGTTTGAATCATGCACAAAACTTTGAAAATCTAGAAATCTCACTGATCAAAAACTAATAGGAAAAACATTTTTATATCACATGTTAAGTTTGATGTGTCTGTCAAAATTTCACTTTTATGTTTTTTGTGAGACCAACAAAATCAATGAATCCATTGATATGCAGAATGATATTCTTCCCATATAAATTGCTGTTGAACATACTGGGTGGTCCAGGTAAGCCTTGTCTTCCTGGCTGTCCTGGTAGGCCTGGTGGTCCAGGAAATCCAGATCTTCCTGGGATTGATTCACCTGTTCCAGGAGGACCAGGGTCACCTTGAAAACCTTGAGGTCCTGCTGCTCCACTTACTCCTGGCAGGCCAGGCAGACCTATAAAACAATTCTGTTATATGGCCCATACAGTTTCATGTTAACTATTACCACAAGATATTAAGGAAGACATGATAGGCTGTTCAGAACTGTCATGAAGAATAGTTTCTATATATTAAAAAAAAAAAAAAAAGACAAATGTAAATCTTTAGTTTTTTTTTCCCAGGAAAAAAGGCTCCTGCTTTAGACTTTCAAATGATTTTTCTTCTCTCCATTATCTCTTTTCCAGACTAGCTCCTTATACAGAGCAAAGTCATTGTCATCACCTTCCTTTGTATCTTTTTGAGATGAAGAATAGAATTTCTTAGCACAGCAGTCCAGATACAGGCATGCCATGGATTTACAGTTCATGGCAGCATCTTGCTTTATCTTCTTTTCCTTTTCTAGTAATTCCTCATGTTCTGTTTGGAATATTTTATTCTTTTTTGGCCGCTAAATGGTGAGCTAAAATTTTTCTTGAACTCTGTAGAGCTCAAATCCTTACTGTTGGTGATTTACATCAAGCAAGAACAAAGAACAGTTTCTTCTTGGCTGCTTTTAGTTGCTTTCTCTACTACTGGTATATAGTTCTCATTTTATCTTCTACTTCTCTTACTTGTTCCATCATCTCCTGGTCTTCCCAGCAGGCCTGCAGGCCCAATTGGTCCAGCTGACCCTGTCTCACCAGCAGGACCCGGAAATCCAGGATCTCCTTGTGGACCTACATGGAATTATAAAAACATGTGAACTGAACATCTTATGCAATTGTCAGCTAAAATCTAAATAAAACCACAAACAAAATTATAACTCGGGAACCACACAAAAGTAAAGTACAGTAACTTTTGTCTTTATGGAATATTTAAAAAATGTGTAACAATTAAATTTTAAGATGGGAGGATTTGGTTATTTTTCTGCGGATTCCTGTCCATTTTGTTGGCATGGTTTTAACTCTTCATCACTCTGCAGTAGCATCTTTGTGCTACATATTTCAGAATGCCAAGAGAAGTATTTTCACAAAACAACTACATACAGCATTTAAAGTGCATCTCATGTTCTGCAGTGCACACAGAGAGGTCATTTCAGGATCATCCCAGTTGAAATCATCCAGATTTTAAAAAGTGTATTTTCAAAATTGATATAAGGAATATATTTAAAAATTTTAATTACATCTTGACAAAGAAAACCCTAATCAGATATAAAGAGCTCCATTAACTTGGAAAAACAAAATATTGGTAGCAGTTCTGTTCTCAAACAATTGTGCTAAAGGCCTCTTTTTCTGAACAATGTGTCCACTCACACACAACACACATAGTTAAATGTTACTTGAAATATTAAGCATGGGGTTTGTTTCATGGGCTGGAAATCCACAGAAATCGATGGAAAACAGATTGATTTTTGGATGAGGCCTTTGTATAATGGGGAAGTTCTGCTGAACTGAGGTTGTGTTCACAATCAGTATTTGCTTCACTAGAAATATAATTTATGATAAGGTTTCTGTTAAAATGCTTTTACAGTACAGGTTCTCAAAGTGCTCCCTTTTAGGCAGCAGGCGTGGCTGTTTCCCACTGCCTACTGCTACGAAATCAGAACTTCCAAACATCTTTTACCAATTAGGTTATAAAGGTGGGAATAAAGGGACCTGGGACATAAAAACGCAACGTGAGATTTAGGTTGGAAGGTAATAAGACTGACAGGTGATTCGGTTGAGAGTACTAGTTCCAGGATTTTACCCCTCCTAAGCAACAGAAAGTTGAACTGCAATCTAAAATCTGTGTGCCTTGGCAATTCGAAAATTGGAATTCTAAACTACAATGGGAATGCCAGTTTTTCATACTTTTCATAGCTTCTTCTTAAATATGCTTAGATCTGATAACTGCGGATAGTCCTGAAGACCTAGCTGTGACTGCATGCATAAAGATCTTTCAGCAAACATTTAATCTGAAACTTGTATGCTTAACATAGTTCCAGTAAGATCAGTGAGAAACAGACATAGAATATGACTACTAGGAAGATAACATTTTAGGATCTTGCTCCCTGAATCCCCAGTGATCACTTTCAAACACTTTAGCAAAATAGGTCCTAGCCATTTTATACTGCAGAAAGACTAATTAAAACTAACTACAACCTTTTATAGGAAGCAGCGGAGTTTCAACAGTTCCAGGAGGACCTGGGGGGCCTTTTTCTCCTGGATCCCCCTGTAAAAGTCCAACAAGGAGTTTTACTGATAGATATAAATATGTAATATGCTAACATGTAGCTGAAAATTTCAGTAATGGTGGAGCATGTGATATATATCACCTGGGAGCTCAATTTTGACATTTTATAGCATTTAAAACCAGGTAAAATGATTTTAAATAGTTATCTTTCAAGATACCAATGGCTAACCAGTAATATTGCATATATCTGACTCTTCAGAACTTGACTGCTGTATTTGATTTTCTTCGTTTATTGTAAAGATGAATCTATTACAATAAATCAGTACCCCTATTATTGAGACATTATGATTTAACAATCAGGCTGTAATTATTTACCTTAAAATTCTAATCAAGGATTTGGAAATTATTTCTATGATGACAGATAAGCATTAAGATAAGAGGTTTTACAGTCTGACAGATATTACTGATGGTAAGAGACACTTAAAGCTCTTAGAAGTTTAATACGTCTGCATCAGGAAACATAAAAATGCATACTAATGGCAGGGAAAATCACTTCTGCTTGGAGGATTTCTAAATTAGCTTGGATTTTGATACTTAGAATTGCAAGTGAAGTGGACTTTAAGGAATTCTTTTATGTGGCAAATTATATTAGACTTTTTGCTTTGTAGATTAGGAATCCACCCTGCTCTTTGCAGCAAATGGGAACTGAAAAAACAAGAATGTGAATGTGGGAACTGCGTAGTGAGGTTGCATTCCTGGGACTGGTGTTCAGGGCCTTTTAGGACACAGACAAACACAGACAAGGAGAATTGGGGCTGCAAAACTTATCGGTTTTACTGATATTAATTATTAAACATTGTATTTGCTCTGTAAATTTCTATAGCTTTATGTAATGTAAATGGTGAAGAACATTTTGCACTGCCTGTAAAGACCATTCATTATTTTAATGAGACTCATTCCATTAGGAACAGACACAAATGGTCTCAGGGTGATTTCAGCAGGATTCTTACCCCCCCTTGTATTTTGTCTGAAGAAAGCATTTTGTTTTTTATTATTTATCACAGAACGGTTGAGGTCAGAGAGCACCTCTGGAGGTCATCTTGTCCAACCTCCCCTCCTCAAGCAAGACCACCTAGAGCTGGTTGCCCAGGACTAAGTCCAGACAGCTTTAGAATATATATAAGGATGGAGACCAGTGCTGAATAGAGGACAAGTATCACCTCCCCTTGCCTGCTGGCAATACTTTTGCTAATACAGCCCAGAATATCATTAGCTGCCTTTGCAGTGAGGACATGTCGCTGCTCATGTTCAAGATGAACTCAGTATGGCCAACATCCTCCAGACTTATGGATCAAAAGGTATGCCAGCAATTCCTTGAAGTCCATTCTTTGCTTTAAGCAGCAGTTAATTTTTTTTAAAGGTGAGTCTACTTTGAATGCAACTGGTTTTGCCCTGATTCTTTTTCTCTTAAATATTAATGCACCTTAGATTCTCTTTGAACACATTTGTTTCAGAAAATCTATGTGAGGATGGGCTATTCTCAGGAGGGTTTTTAATTATATTCTTGTTCCTCCAGTTTATGTCATTTTTAGCAGATCATAAGCAACACCTGGTTAGGCCAGATGAACAGTTGATGCAGTCTAGGTAGAGATGCACTTTTCAGGAACAATCAGATTTATCCCATTGTTTCCAAAGCAAAACTACAGCATCTGTGCAATCAGATCTGATGTATCTATATGACTTAACCTGATTCTTTTAAAGTCGTGTCTATACTTGATTCATTTTCTTTTGCTCCATGTGTTAGAAATTGTAATTTCATCTTTCTGAATCATTACTGCAGGGATTTAAACTTTTACCTTGTATAATATATATATTAATTATTTTTTTGTTTACTGTTTTTAGTGCTACTAGATGGGTACTCAGTGTGGGGACTAATCAACAGAGATTGAAGAATACATTGTTCTGTCTATGAAATGTATTGCTCAAGTTTGCTATAGATCCCTCCAACTAAAACAATATGCACATCAGGGTGAGTATTTTTTAACAACAAAACACAAGGTTTTATTGTACTTTTGGGGAGTAATGGACTGTAATGATTTTTGTGTTTGAACAAGACATGAAATGTTTCCAATTAGTATCTGAATGATCCCACATTGTTGTGAAACTGATAATGGGAGAAAAATGAACATCCATGGGCAATTTCTGCTCCCCATCCTCCCCAGTTCCGACTTTGAAACAAGTACACTTGTGACTAAAACAAATGTTTTTATTGTACTTTTACTTATTTACTCCATGTGCTTGTCATTACTTATTTACTCCATGTGCTTGTCATTTCTCATTTGTAAACCTGCTTCCTTAAAACTTGTTTATTGCTTTTTATTTGTTTGCTTTCAGCTGCATCTTTAACAATATACTGCTTAGGGCAAGTCTGCACTAGCCACAGGTTACCTCCCTTTGTCATCACAGACTATGAAGTGTGTTTCAATTTTAACCTTCAATTTATAACAGAGCTTAGAATCATACAATAGTTAGGGTTGGAAAGGATCGCAAGATCATAAAGTTCCAACCCCCCTGCCATGGGCAGGGAAACCTCACACTAAACATCTCACCCAAGGCCTCGTCAACCTGGTCTTGAACATTGCCAGGGATGGAGCATTCACAACCTCCCTGGGCAGCACATTCCAGTGCCTCATCAGACTAACGGGAAAGAATTTCCTCCTTATATCCAATCTAAACTTCCCCTGTTTAAGTTTGAACCCGTTACCCCTTGTCCTATCAAGACAGTCCCTAATGAAGAGTCTCTCCCCAGCATCCCTATAGGTCCCCTTCAGGCACTGGAAGGCTGCCATGAGGTCTCCACGCAGCCTTCTCTTCTCCAGGCTGAACAGCCCCAACTTTCTCAGCCTATCTTCATACAGGAGGTGCTTCAGTCCCCTGATCATCCTCGTGGCCCTCCTCTGGACTTGTTTCCTTTTTATGTTGAGGACACCAGAACTGTACGCAATACTCTAGGTGAGGTCTCACAAGAGCAGAGTAGAGGGGCAGGATCACCTCCTTCGACCTGCTGGTCACGGTCCTTTTGATGCAGCCCAGGATACAGTTGGCTTTCTGGGCTGCAAGCACACACTGCTGGCTCATGTTCATTTTCTCATCGACCAAGTGTCATTTCTTTCATTTCACAGGTGTAAGTAATTGTGCTTTAAGAAAAGTTACTATTTCATACACAGGTTTCCATAAAGACTATTTCAGAGGGAAATAAACACTTCTTGACTTTTGTATTTCAGAATATTTAGAGCCAAGTTCATTAGTGTCACAATTTCTGCAGTGGTGGTTTTGTCCTCTGTACTGTGGTAGTAACTTTCACAATGAGCTTTTTCAACTTTGCAGTCTGTACTGATGATCCTGCCACTCACCTTCGTCGCTGCAGCATTTCACTTCTCCTCTTGCTTATATACTGCTGACCACTTGGACCCTATCCCAGGGATTCCCTAGGCCTTCCCCCTGGCTAGACTCACTGCTCCTTTGCTCATTCCAAAGGAATGAGAGTAGGATCCAAAACTGGTTATTTTCAGTCTGAATGTGCTTTAGCATTGTAGATCCCATAGTAAATATAATAGTTCCCATCATTCAAGTTTTAGTTGTTAGTCAGAATTACAATATGCTCCAGTAGTCAGAATAACAGTATGATCATCAGTTCTGCAGCCTGCAGAAGAGGCTTCCATAAACTTATATCCTGAAATGTCACTAGACTGGCACCTGGGTCTTCTGAAATTTTATTAAACATCTCTTCTGCACTTTTCAGATAAATACTTCCCTCTTTCACTGCTTAGATCCCCAGTTATGACACGCTCCTAATCTCTAATGGAAAGCATCATGAATTATAAAATAAAAGGCGACTGGTGTCATCTAAGTGAGCAAAAGTAGGAAATGTTTAAACAAAGCAGGTGTTGAAGGAGTCCAATTTTCATTCTGGTAAGCATCTTGGAGAAACTATTTATGTGAACAGGTTGAACATATGCAAACAAATGTGAATCAAATTTTGCCACCTCATTAGGTGCTAACTAGTCATACTAGTTGATATACCAAAGTTCATAGGATTGTACTGTTATCTAAATAGGAGGTTCCTTTGACTACCATATCTCTGGGGAACACAGCTCAACCATGAATAACTTGCAGAGTGTTACAATTTATGGATTTGATAGCTATACTGGTATAGTTAAAGGAAGCTATTAGCAATTGGGATTAACCAACCCCTATGGTACACAAAATCGAATTCCCACTCTCATATGCACCAAGCAGGAATGTTTACTTACATTATTTACTACCTCAGTGTTGAGTAATTATGACTATCATGAAAACAGTAAATCTTAAATTTAATTATTGCTGCATGGAAGGAAATGGTCTGATAAGCAGGCTCATTTGGGAGAAGTCATTAGCATTTATATAGCGGTGTGTGTGTGCACACGTGCATGTGTGCATGTGTTGGGTTTTTGTTTTTTTTTCACCTGTATGCCTGGGTAGCCAGGTTGTCCAGGAAACCCAGCAAATCCTATTTCCCCCTGGAAAGGACCACAGAAATATCATTTGAGTAATCTGTTAAGATATATAATTAATTGAACAAAACCCTGTAAGGCAATCATATAATACTGGCATCTTATAATAGCATCCACACTTTGTTTCAGAAAATGGATTTGTACCAGAGATGGTATGTTTTACAGATTCTCTTCTGGTAAAAAAACAAACCCAAAAATCAACCAACACCCTCTTCCCCTCCCCCTCCCCCAAAATACAAAAAAAAAACAAAAAAAAACAACCAAAAAACAACCAACAAAAACCCACAACATGTATTGGTTATTTAGACAACGGTCAGTGGATTCAGTGTAGCTGGGGCACAGAACTAGCTGGAATACATACCAGCAGATTCTTATAGACTGCTTAATACAGCTGAAATAGTTTTGCTATCTGCTGAACGACCCTCTTACACTATTATTGCATGAAAAGCAGCTGCACATCAGCTCCTCTCCTTTTACAATCTACTAATATGCTCATCCACCGAGTATTCAAGCTAAGTAGACAGTTGTTAAAAAAAGAAGAAAAAAAACCCAAACAAAACCAAAGTAAAAATAATTTTGCAGATAAAAGTCACCTGGAACACAAGTCTAGATGCAAATATCTGTACATTAATTTGATTTATGAATAGCACGATCACTACCTTAACTAGATTTGAAAATGAGCTGAGGAGAGGAGCTAGGAAAAAGGGCAAGATGAAGATCTATGGACCTACACCTGTTGTTCTTTATTCCAGTAAGATGTTTTAAGCTGCTAACTTAAAATTTAGCAGACTTAACAGCAAACCTGGAATTTTTTGAGCCATAAAAATAAAAACATGCATATAACACAAAATTACACAAACAATGTCACCATGGCAAACAAAGTTAACATGCTGCATATTATATCATGCTGTATGCATGTCCCAATGGCTTTTCCTCCTGCTTCCAACTTCAGATCCCATTAGCCAATTTCAGCCAAATTTCAGAGAGTAGCAGTAATTCAAAGACAAAGACTTCATACAAATTCAGTGATCACAGGTAGCAGGAGAGAAAGGAAGGAATGCAGTGTGAGCTGTCAGGTATGCAGAAATTCCAAATCTGCACAAATCTACAAAAAACCCAAATCTCACTGATCCTACTGCTTAGGGAGATGCTTATACTTCATGGGCTCTTACCTTCATTCCAGGAGAACCTGCAGGTCCATAAGAACCAGGATCACCCTGATAAAAGCAAGCAGAAAGCAAGCTAAAACAGTAAAAGCTTATTCAGAATTACACCTATTCAGAATTGCTGAGCAGTTAGTGTTCCTTAGAAAATCATTACTTAGGATATTTTTCCAAAAATTTTGCAAAGTTTTTTGCAAATACTTTATATGAGAGGTGAGTACGAATTTGAACTATAGACCAAAATAAAACAGACAGGTCTTCACCTAATTTATTATCATATTGCACCCAGTGCAGTACTGGACACATTGTTCCATATGAGCAGTGTTATACAAATCAAGCACAAGCTGCTATAAAAAACTGACATCAACACTCATGGAATACATAAAATTACTGTGTTAGTACAATAAGCAGAGAAGCTTAGTGCAGTTCTAAATATTTAGAGGATAACCTCAGTGATTTACTTTCTTTCCAAGAACAGAAAGTCTGTATGACCTTATGTTTAAGTATGGGACAGGGTGAGTCCCAGGGCAAAACTCCTAAATATTCTATGAAGAAAGTATGACAAATTAGTTTAAAAGGTACTTAAAATCTTTCTTAGAAATGTAAACTTAAATTTCCAAATATATTATGAACCTAATTATAGTGAATTTTTGAAGTAATTTATTCCACAACTTCCTTACCCGCAATCCAGGGAATCCAGGAATGCCTTTTTCACCCTTTTCTCCTCTCCCAAGTATACCCTGAAGCATTCAAAATACTTTTTCAATAAGATGTTTGGTGAAGTTTGCAGAAATTTTAGTCTTTGTGTATGCTAAATCATATATGTACTAGGTTAATGAATCTTGTTGCACTTGCTGGCACAGTCACTGGGGCTTACTTCATAAAGCACCTCTATCAGGCCTATGTAGCAAAGCTCTGGGCATCTTTTGGGATGCATCAATTTCTAAGCTCCTGCTTATAACTAAAAATTATGCTATTATCTGCATGGACAGCTAGCAATGGACCATGCATATAAGGTCCATCTTTTCCAAAGTAAATCTGATATAAAAAGATTGGTTTTGTCTGTTTTTCCAGTGCTAAGTAACAGTGGTCGTTTTACGATGGAAGATAAATTTCTGAAAAAGTTCTAGGCTTAGAACTCAGAATGTGACATTCAGACTTCCAATTTCTTCTGCCTACAAAGCTAAATATTTTTTAACATAAATTAGATTAATTCTTTAATCGCAAATTATCTTCTGTTTTTCTGAGACCTGGTAGTTTCATGCCTGTGCACTTCCATAATCTGAAGTGAAAGTCCTTCCCTAACATACTTAGGGAAACATACATCATGCTCCATTAAGAACACACAGATCTTCTCTATTTTTCCTGATAAAAAACAATCTGCACTTTTATCTTCTTCACAGTCCCAGTCTGTTATGTCTCAACAGCCCAACTGGAAACGCCACTGACCTTTTGCTACCAGGCAACATTCACTAGGTACCTTTAAAACAGACTCAAAGGTTCTTGAAAGGGTTTTGAAATTTTTTTGCTTTCACACTGATTTAGGTGGTGATTAAATTTCACAGTGCAAATGCTGTTATTTCTTCTATCACCTTGAGCTTTAAAAGAACTTTGCCAGCACCATGAGAAAAATAAAAAAATCACATTACTTACCTTTGGTCCACGTGGTCCTCTGTGTCCTGTTACCCCAGGTAGTCCTTTTTGGCCCTATGTATACAAGGAAAGTTTTTGTGTATATTAATTTGCAGGACATTCCTATGTGCTGTCTAACTTTTTTTAAGTCCTATTCTGAATTACAAATGTTAAAAAAGTATTTTCTTAAGCACCGGGCATCTTCCTCTAGGTGTACTAGACATAAGAACATAAAGAATAATTATGTACTGATCTTCATTTCTGTTAACTCTGTCAAACCAGAATAATGATTGCGGAGAGAGATAGATGTATCTTTTCATTTGCAAGGACCTTTGGGGGGGCTTTGTTCCTGCAAGCGTATATGACAGTAGTTCTGTTTTGTTTGCTGCTCTATTTAGTTTGATGCAAGTATTCACATTCATAAATCTACATTTTTGTGCACTGCCCGAATCTGAATGGGATGCATAGGTGGCTACATAGTCATGATCACGTCATGTGTTGCACAGCAGCATATATCACACTTGGCAGTAATATGAAGAGTTTACATAAATTCTTTTGGTCCTTTTCCTCTTCCTCATACACCTGTGCATAGCAATAATTTGCATAATCTAAGCCTAAAATCCAGTATCTTAAATTTTTCAGTTCCCTGAGTTGAAGCTGTAAGGGCTGGAAATGCCAAATTCACCTTTAAATTTGTGTATTCGAGCAAATCAGACTTGAGGACAAAGAGACTTCAATATAGGGCTCCATAATGCAGTTTTTGTAACTCTTCTTCTTTTTAAAGGAACATTATAATGTTTTAAGGTACACAGTTGTGGCTACCGTAGGAGTGATATTGAAGTATTACAGTAAATAACAGAAACATGCATTAGACAAAAAAATCACAATTAATTTTCATATTAAGAAAGCAGCCTAGAAGAGTTAGAGTTGATAGTTCAAAACATTACAGTGGAGAAATCTCAAAGAGAATAATTGCCAAAGAACTGCAAAATACGTGTTAGTGAAGGGCCACAGAAGAGATTCAATAGTAGAGTAACTAACTTTACCTGAGATGCCTGAAATATGATTTGCTAATGACAGAAAGTGAAGGAAACCAGTGCAAGGGCAGTAGCTCCTTTCTGCATCAAGACAGTCTTCCCTCAAGGACATGAGCTAAAGTACACATGGGCTCTCCTTCCTGAAAGCCTGTAGGAAGGGTGCTGAACAACAGGACTGATTTCTGCTGAAGCTGATGGTTTCTTACAGAAAGATTTGTATTATACAGTCCTTGCAAAAATGACATCACAGCATTGTACTTGCCAAGTTGAGCACAGTTAAATATGAAGACAACACCTTTTCTCCTTTGAAGAGCTGAGTTCCAGGAGGTCCAACTAACAGTGGTGACCCAGGTGGCCCAGGAAGTCCAATGTCACCCTGTGGAAGTCAAAGGAACAGCAGAGAGACATTTTGTTCCATATGTTTCAGTGAGACTCAGCATGTCTTCCTAATGTACTACAGCATTACACATGTCTATACTTATTGAACAAGTTCTTGTACTAATAACTGTAGATAAAAGGTTTGTATTGCCATTTGTAAGGCTTTTTACTGTCTTCCCAGATGAGCAAGTCTGGCAATCCTAATCCCCTCCTATTCTCTTCAGCTATTAAAAATAACATTATGGCTAAAGAGATACATGAGAACTCTGTACTCATGGCCTGAGTCTGCTGTGGAGATAGTTACAGGATTGGCAAATCTCTTGTGTCCACACAGTCTTCATGTTCCCGCCTGAAGCCGTTCAGCACAAGGCTTTGTGAATGCAAAAATGAAATTATTGATTTGCTATGGGAAGTTGTGCATGTTAGAAACTTGCATAAATTCCAAGTTGTCACTGGACAAATTCATAGAAGAAAAATCAAATATTCCTCATTAGTTCTGTAAGTCCTGAGTACGCTAATAGGCGGAAATTGGGAGAGGAACTATTACTGTGCGCATTACTATGTGCTTCTCTTTTTCTTAACCCTTTCCTTAGCATCTGTTGCTGGACATAGCAAGAGATGAGATTCAGTGACTGGTCTGGTACAGCCACTGTTACTGGAGGGTACTGTTGTGTTCTGATTATTTAGGCAGTGTCTGTACAGAAGGTAATTGCTATATAAATGCTAACTAACATATTGATTGTTGCTTTTCAAAACCTCCAGAAGACCCTTGATTGATGCAGCTCACTGAAGGAACCACTTCTGCATGGAATTAATTGATTCAGTAACTTACTTTACTTCTCCTTCCATCCTAACATGATTAGTGGGAGCACACAGCTGCACATGAATCGGTTCCAGGAAACCCAGCAAGGCTCTATTATACTTCTAATTCTACAGCAATAATATATTTAATAATATTTGTTTTCTTACCGGCTCCCCCTTTTGTCCGTCCACTCCAATACCAGGATTTCCCTAATTGACAGAAAAAGTACACAGGTTGAAGATAACCAGAAAATGCTGATATTAGAATTTAATCAAATAACTCATTTGAAAAACTTAGTAACAAACAACCATAAGAGACATTTTGAATATTTGTATAAATTAATCTATTATTTTACTAACAACGTCAGGAAAATCATGGCCTACCTGTTCACCTGGCAAACCAGGGTAACCCGGAATACCCTTTAAAAGAGAATGAAAACAAACAAGTTAGTATGTCTGATTTAGACAGCTTTGTCTGAAAATCACATACTCTTGCCAGCAGCACCTAGAGGCAGAATTTCCTCTTGGGATGAGGAAATCGCAATTTACTTCACCTGCTCACTGCTTTCAGCAGGGTTGAACTCTGGCTTCCCACTTTTCACTTCCTGACTCCCACAAGGTGCCCTTGGGGAAAGCGAATAAGGAGAAAGCAGTAGCAGCATTCCTCCATGACCACAGACTGCCAGATGAAATGTGTCCACCCAGGCATGGGAAGGAAAAATATATGCTCCAATTCCTGAACTTCCAAACTCATAAGGTAAGACAAAAATCTATTTTTTTATCATCTGCCTCAGAAATTATTTCTAGGCTTTGATTCACATTAAGGCAAGTTCTAAAATTGGTAATCAGAATTTCTGCATGTCCTAAAAATGCAAGGCTATATAACTGTGGTGATCTTACAGGCAAGCCTAGTTGGCCTGGGTATCCAGATGGGCCCGGTGTACCTCTCGACCCTATAGGTCCCTGCAAAAGATGGCAAAAAGTCTGTTTGTGAAAATACCAAGAGCTTACCCTTTTCTCCACAAAAGTAATCCCTCCAAAATGTCTGTGTCACTTAGACTCAGTCTACTAGTCATTGCATTCCACCCACGGTCTGAAGCTTATACCATGTCTGTCACTGTCTTCGTATACCTCGCTGTCACTAGAGCTCAGCACCAGTTTCTGGATTGTACTGTACAGATACCGGACAATGCACAGTTATATGTTATCAATTGATTGAAAGAATACTTTTAGAGTAACTGTGCTACAGTATGGGGACTCGATACAGTTCAGTAGTGAATAATTTTTTAGAGAGCATAAGAAGAGGAACCCAAAGTCATTAAGAGTGTTAGTCAGCAACAAAATTAAACTCTCTATTCTTACATGTTTTTATGGCCAAAATATGGTAGTGTATGCTACATGTTCTTGGGTGATCCTCCAGATACTGTTGAAGAAGGTGTCACCTCTCTACACATTCTGAATGTAATGGAGAAAAGATTTTGCAAACTGTGAGCACCAGAGCAACAACTGCTCGATGCAGATGGTTGTTGTCTGTTTCTGCTGCTTAAGCCAGTGTGAACTGGTCACGGGGGCAGACTATAGGGGCTCCATGTTTGTTAGACTTTATTCAGGAATTTTGCTATATAAGGCAGGCAGGAAGAAGCCCCAATATTTTGTTATTGTACTAAGAAGGAAAATTTTAAAGATCTTTAATACAAGAAGCATTTATAGAACTCACTGACTGTACTTACGGGCGTGCCAGGGGGTCCAGGATCACCTCTATCTCCCTGTAACAGCAATCATTTTGCAAATTAATCATTACAAGCTTTTTGTGGGTATTTTCTAACTTTTTATAGCTATTAAGGTAACAAGCTATCTGTTCCAGTTGTACATTTGCTTTTAATCTTTCTTTTTTGCACAAAGCTTTATTAAAGCATGAGGAGTAATGGAAAAATTACATTTGCTACGAAAGCTTTCCTACAAGATATGATTTTTTTCACAATCATATACTTACTGGAGGTCCTTTTCCAAAATGTGAAACATACACTGAATTTCCTTTTTCTCCTTTTTGCCCTGGATTCCCCTTTAAAGAAAAAAAAGTCTTTTAAAACATGATCCACACTTACTGATATGCTACATTTCTATGGAGACTGAACGATAATTTCTCAAGTTATGTTTTCTGGTGTCCCTACATCACTAGGTAATCCACTAGTCATGCATGACCATTTTGCAGTTCTTTTACCTCACAAGACCCTTAAAGTAAAACTGTCTTCTTTACAGCTGACCAAAACAGCTTCTCACAGCTTCTGGACTCCTGCTCTGTTAGATTAGCTCTTAGGTACTTCAATAATCTACCATCTTCACAAATCTTGCTTTTAGTATCAAGTATATAGAATCATAGAATGGTTTGGGTTGGAAAGGACCTTAAGGTCAGCTAGTTCCATGATGGCTGCCATGGATCGGGACACCTTGCATTAGACCATGTCACCCAAGGCTCTGTCCAACCTGGCCTTGGACACTGCCAGGGATGGAGTATTTACAGCTTCTTTGGGCAACCAGTTCCAGTGCCTCACCACCCTCACAATAAAGAACTTCTTCCTTACACAGTAAAGAACTTCTTCATTATATCTAACCTGAACTTCCCTAAGTTTAAATCCATTACTCCTTGTCCTATCGCTAGACTGCCTGATGAAGTGTCCTTCTCCAGCATCCTAATATGCCTACCTTTTCTTTCAGTAAGTATTTTAAGTATTAACACTCTGCTCTACCTTCTCCAAAAGATCATGCTGTGATTTAGAAGAATCTAATGTGATTCTACATATAGTTAAAAAGATGAATACATGGACTGCCGATGAAAGTATGGACTGTGTTACATGCATAATCTTCAACATTTCCATCTATTAGGAACTATGTTTCACAGTCTATTAAACAAATAAAAATCTGATGCCTAAAGGCCCTGTTTATTTAAAAACTACGTTCCCATGGTGCTTGCTATGGAATCCTTTATAAAACTTCACTAACCTTCACAACCTCAATCTGACTTAGCAGAATGATAGCTTTTGCAGTATTCAACTGTAATGCTCAAATGACTGTTGAGAGCATGATATATATGTACATACCTGAGGAACAGATATATTAAGATATTACTTCTGAAGTTTTCTCATTTGAAATCCAATGTATGGGATATAATTTACCTAAGGTAACCACTTAACTATTTCAATAATTATTATTTATTTATTAATTTTAATAAAACGGAATACTATTTTTCATAGAATTTAATCACTTTAAAAGTGTGCTAGTTTCCTGATACTGGCTGCTCAAATCCTGAAGTCAGAATGAAACAGAAAAGGTACTTATACCTGTAATGACTCAATAAAAAGAAAAGTTACAGCTGTCTGAAGCTGGATATAACTACAGTAGACTAGATGCAGATTACAGGTCAAACAACAACTGCTAGGGAACAAATTAAACACATCAAAAGTTGTATTTGGTTATTCTACATGTGACCTGTTGTGTAAGACAACATCTTTATTAGATTCAGTTTACCTTCTACATGACTTAGGTAAGCGCTTACAAATAAAACTATTTCCTTTTCCAATTTATTGGTGAGATAAATGTGCAGACTCTACAAGTGAAGCTGCAGAATATGTAGTGTTAAAAAGAATTATACAGGACAACATTATAAATAACATAAAAATGTTAGCTGTAATATACAGTCAAGTTGGTACTTGGTGCAACAAATTGATTTAAAAACAGGCAATCTGCATAGAGTGGTTGGAATAGCATTCTCATACACAAACAAATATGCTTACTATGTCTGTGTTTTTCTGGGTAGCTAAATTAATTTGCACTGGAATTCTAGTCTGCATATCCAAGGCTACATGCCTATTGTGTCTCCCATTTTTTGTAGGCTGCAAATACTTTTCTAGGCCTGCCAGAAACCATGCTCCTGGAGTTAAGAGGATTTATGCTATAATTTGTCCCACATCTTATTTTTCTTTTATGTCATTTGGCTAATTATAAAAGGGAAAACTCTTATTTTGAAAGCCGTAAAAAGTAAGAAAATACAGGTAAAATTACAGTTTGAACAGAAGTAATTTTTCTGTTTGGAGGGTTAATAGGTTACTTTCAGAGGTGCAACAAATAAGAGTTTCAGGGTATTTTATCAGGTTGTGTATTTCATGCATTATTTTTTTCTATTTGCTACATTTTTTATGACATCTTTTCACTTTGGCACCCAGTGCGCATTTTTTGATTCCCTATGGCTGAAGCAACATCTTATTTGGCTTTGACTAAACACTTTTTATTTTTCATGCAAAATGCAGTTGTTTTTACTGTTTTACTTAGAAAATTTCAGAGAAGCTCTTAGACCAACTAATGAGCTCTTAATCACTCAGAACTAGAACTTGTTTTCACAAGAAGTCAAAGACCAGGGACTAGGTCTGTTCAGCAAAATCTCTTTGGAGCTACAGTGATTTATATCCCGTACTGACATTAATCAGTGGTTTATCTTCATTAGAAGAGCACTGCCAACACACTACTTAAACAATTTTAAAATGCTTTCCATTTTAACAGCAAAAGTAAATAATATTAAAGTGCTAATTTTAAACGTTTTAACTGAAATGACCTTTATGTATACAGATAAAGACCCAGGCAAGATTAAGTGTGCACAGAGCAGTCATGAATAGGTATATATACAAAATAGCACATGAAACTGTAAAAGAATGATTTGGGAAGAGATCTACTAATACACTTGTGTGATCAACCACCAAAAATCTTAGAGTGTTACAGTTTTTTGAAGCTTTCACTCATTGCTAATTCATCTCAGGTATGTCCCTACAGTTAAGGCTTTTAAGAAATTTCAAGTATTGATAAATGATGTAATGATTTCAAGCTACTCCTCAGTTGTACATCCATGAAATGGTATTAGATTTGGTGTGACTACGTACTGGGGAAACAAAGCAGAATTTAACTGTCAAAGTAGACATATATACTTCAAGGATATAGGAACTTATTTCACATTCAATCTTAATCTGCTATGGCACACTCTCGTTAACCTTAGTAAAAATGCTTGGAAATTCATTGTGCAGTGTAAAGCTAGTGCCATAGTCTTAAACTCCTTTCATTTTAAGAACTATTAGTTTGGAGATGAAATGTACATGTTCAGTATTCAAAGACAGAAGGAATGCCCTTCACTTACATAAGGACCATGTGGTCCAATATAACCATTTTCGCCTGGAAATCCTGGATCTCCTCTTGAGCCATTGCAGCCATCTAAACCAGGCTTGCCCCTGGGTCCTCCACTTCCTGGTAATCCCTGAAAGATAGTTTAATATTTTTTAGAGATACACTGTGATACATAGGGAATTTCTTTTAAATTAACAGAACAGTTCAGAAACAAATATTTTAGATCTGAAACAGAGAACATGTCACAGTGATCCCAGCTTTATACTCTTTGGATTAGAAATGCTTTCTATTGTGATCAATAGAAATATTTTTTTTCCTGTATAACAAATGATATGATATATATTTTTATTTGATGCATAGCAAATATAACAGGGACAGCAGTGGTTAAGAGGGCCAGACAGAGCTCTCGAGTCAAAAAGTAATGTGCTATCTTCTCAGAGAAAGCAGACACTAGCTCTAACTAAAATCCTTCTTGTGGTTGCAAAGAGAAGCTGAAGACATACAAAAAGTCATTTTAAACAGCTCATATTTTTTAGTTGACAGGATAAAACAAGGTAAAACAGGACACAGCTTGACTCAAGCACACAGTAATTGCAGAGATTATGACTATACATTCAAGAATTAAGGAAGTGATTTTCTAATCTAGCAAGAATTAACCATTGTCTAGGTAGGGGTTGGTTCTAGTGCAAATCAGACACTAGGCAGTAGAAACACTGAGATTTCCCATGGAAGGATCTTTCCATTGGAGGTAAAATATTTTTCACAGAATTAAACATTTCTGTAAGGAATAAATAGTAATTTTAACCCCAAATAGGGTTCTTTTTGTTTGGTTGGTTTTGTTCTGGGTTTTTTTTTTTTTTGTTTGATTTTGGTTGTTTGGTTGTTTTTCTGGGGAGATGTCTGAAAAATAGTAAGAAAGTATTCTGGCTAGTTGCCTGAAATGTTTTTGTCAGTTTTACCTTCTTTCTGCCTTTAAGGTCCTTCATCCCAATTTGTGGATACTGTTTTTTAATTAACACTTTTCATAAAAAGAATATACATTTCTTGGGAGTGCTCCTTTTTTGTGCTAAATTTTGGCTTGTGACCATTTTACAGACATTCTGGCGGCAGACCCATTGCCAAGTGTGGACAGCTGACAAGCAGCTGCTGAGACACCCACTCAGTTTTTGGTTCTGTTTTTTCACTTTGAAAATTCAACATTTTAACAGTGATCCACATGAAACTAATGATAGCTTAGGAATTCAGTTCTAATAAACAGTATTTTCAAAAATACTGTAGCTAAGAGATATTATTTTTCTTTTACTATACCCATTTCCTCACTGAAGAAGACATTCAGAAACATATATAATCACATGTTTATAAAGATATGTTTAGGACCCACTTTCCTTCCTCAGTGCCTATTCAGGAAAAAATACTAGACCCAGTTTTTGCTTTTTTTTTTCACTGCAGAAAGACTACAAGCAAAAATCAGAATGTTTGAACAGAAAACAGTACATCATTTGAGATACTTTCAGAGATATTAAGAATGCAGTAAGCAGACTATAGCCTGCTATAAAGCCTGGGAAAATTGTTTTTAATCCTAGCACTGCCCCACGCTGCACACACTTGGGCTAGTCTCTATCTGCACTGCCCTGTTCCTGCATGAGTATTATGTACTTACCTCATTGCTATTTTGTGGAGTTTGTTATCAGTAGTAGCCAGTTGGAATTAACCTGGCTATTTTACATTTTTGTTAAACATGTAATTCTGTAGGTGACACTATATTGATAGGTATAAAGCCAAACATTTTGAGTGTATTATTTTGTTAGAGGGCTTGCTATGACCTTATAAAAATTCTAATTTTTATAAAACAATATTCATTCAATACGTACAGGAATGCCATCTAAACCAGGAAATCCTGGGACTCCAGTTGGGCCCTAAAAACAGATGACATGAAAAAACAAAGGTGCTGAAGTCATTAACTTTTAAAAAGAATGAAAAATGAGAATATGTGATACTAGATAGCAAAACCCAAGAAACAGTCTGGTTTGAAATATGAATCCAAAGTGGTAATTGTCAGTAACAAATATCTGAAAAAAGTTTTATGGGCATATAGGAGACTAGTGGCAATAGCTACCCATGTAACAGATGGTACCGTGCAGGAGAAATGTTGATCTCGTACTCATTCATTCTCCAAAGATTATAAAATGACAGAGAAGCGGAAGTAGTCTTTAACTTATAAAGTAATTCTTTATGTAATTTCAAAACCCTATTCCTGCTTTGATAATATCAGAGCACAATTTACAGTACTCAGATTTCAGGTGTGCTAGATACACTCACTAGTGATTTCAGTCATCCACTGAGATTAGTGAAATTAAACCATTAAAAATAATACAAAGTACCAAGAGCCAAGGACAGGGACTGTACAGCTATGAAAGATATGGACCTGAACTGCAGTTTATACTCCCTAAGTGGTAATAAAATTCTGTTTAGTGTACAGCACATTTAAAAGCATCATACTTCTCCCTCCAGCTCCACATTCCTCCCACAGCCCTCTTGGATGTTAAGGAGGATGACATGACATATAACAATAAAGAGACTGTGTCTGTTTCATTTTATTTTTGTCTTCTAACAATTCTAACTGCAATCAATGGCAAAAATCCTCAGAAACAATTTTTCAAGTTTTTTTAATTAATTTAATTTTGTAAATTAATTTCCGTGAGAGTTTTGTTGAGCAAGAGTATGGTTTGGTAAATGCTTTTTGATCATTCAGGTTCTATTTCACTTGCCAATATTTAACATTACATACTGTATACACCTAAAAGAGCTGTCTATGGTGTTTCCTACCTTATCACCTCTTTCTCCAGATGGCCCAGGTTGCCCAGTCTCACCTCTCTGTCCTTTTTCCCCTGGCAGACCAGCTGGTCCTGTAGATCCCAAGGACCCAATTGGACCTTGAGCTCCCAGCTCACCAGGTTGACCCTGAAAAGAGTCAAAAGTGAATGACTACTGCTGTAAACATTGCAGCAGGCAGCATTTCGGGGATGACTGTATGGATAAAACAAGGCTTATAATGTACATGATTCAAAACAGCTTGGTTGTATAGTCTGCAGATCTGTTCCCTTCATTAGACGCTCTAGGAACACCACCTTCAAACTTAACAACTTCCTCCAGGTGATAATTTCATCTTCAGCAGGTCTCCAGCACCACCTATCTGAGATGCCTGGGTTAAACTGCAAGTCTTCCTGACTCTATCAACGTAAGTATCCCTTCTGCAAGCATAAGATTCCACTGAACATCCTATATTTGCCACCAGAGAAGTGATGGCTCATTTTAGACAAAGGGAGTTTGTACAAAATTAGAACAAATTGAGAGAGTTCCCTCTTAAGTCATACTATATGCTAATTATCTTGGGGTTTTAGCTTACTTATCTTCCATCATTGCTCTCAGATCTGAATGCCTTACTTAGAAGTTGTGAAATTTCCTGCACAAAAAAAAATAATAGCTATTAATCAACATATTTACAGAAAGTATTAATTCTAATAGTCAGAATTATTTGAGAGGATGCAGAATGTAATTTATCTATAAATAATTCTAAATTGTGTAACTGTACCTACAGTACCCTATTGACCATCTCCATGGATTTCTGTGCACTCTTCCAAGATTTTTCAGACTATAGCATTGCTTTGGAGTTGTTTTGAATTTGTTGCAGCTTTTGTTCTGTGCTGGTAAACAGTTACTAAATCATAAATTCAAAGTGCTGAATAAAACAAGTTTTCTAAACAGACTTCACATGTAAGCTGTCTGCATTTTCACCCTACAAAAATCTATGTATTTACAAGTCTTTATTTCTCTTACTCATCTTTTGTGTGTCATTATCTCTGTTTAGCTACAGCTTCTTTTATTTACCAGCTCTAGAGTGTTTTGCTTTCTTTTCAGAATTCATCAATCAATTATACTATGGTATTAAGAAAGAGAGCGAGATGGAGCCCCATGCAGTCCCGAGAAACGCACATGGCTCTAAGACCACTTGAGGGCAGTAAAAGATACTTCAGTACAACCACCATTCATAGAAATGAGACCATAGCGTTTGTTTCTATGAATGGATTGAAGGAAAACAGTTATGACAGACACCAAAGGTGATTGTAAGCAGATATGTTAGCTTCAGGAATTCAGTTCTGTTGCTTCAACATAATTTAACTGCTTGCTTCTCAGTGTAAACACTCCCAACAGACTGAATCTAAATAAAGACTTACCTTTTGAACTATAAGCAGGGACCTAAATCTCTTTTCCTTTTTATTTATTTTCTATTTGTCTTTTCAACTATGCCAATATAATCAGTATGATTTTACAGCTGGACATGAAGAAATGTATGGTATGCATCATTCAGGAAAATCAGCAAAGAAGCAGAGTAATAAGAAGGTAACTGGCTACATGCTTGGAACAGAAACATACTATAGGCTTATGCTGTACTGGAAGCAGGACTGGATCACCACTGGCTCTGAAGCTATGAACAGGAATTTAGTCCAGAGGCCAGGAAAAGAAATCCTACACTTACAAATAAGGAGTCCCTGAAAAAGTATCCTCGTACAACTCATGTTCCATTTTTCTTTACTGTCTCCTCTCACTTAAACCTTAATCCTGCTTCCAGTGAAGTCACTCGCAAAAATTCCAGAGCAGAATCAGCCTGCTGCCTTCAGCAAGTTACCATTTTCTTAATACCATAATTTCAGCAGTGTAAAATATTATGCAAATTAAGGGGTATTACTATTGAAATCTGCTAATTCTGCATGCTTGCTAACAATGAATCAGGATTCTGGGTGTTTCAGTATTTGCTTGCATGAACAATTGCAGCCTGTCTATTGGCAGTGCCTTGCACATCCTCTGTTGTAAACCTGAATTTATTCATTGAAGTACTCTTAAAGCAGCTATTACACCCTTTAAATACTTGATAAAAAAGATGTCTGGACAACCATTTTTTTAATTAAAGCATAATGTTGAGTATAAGAAAAGTGAAATGAATGAGACTAATAGCACTGCAAAATACAACAGTTTGGGCCATTCACTCTACTGGAAGCAGTACCTTTTTTAGTACACTGAACTAGTGGTTATCATGCAAAATGTAACATTCAGCAGCAGGAAAAAACTTCTGGAAGATGTCTCTTATTAATGCTCTAATGCCTTTGTCTTAAGTGTGTCTTGTTGACAACAAGTTTCTGCAGCAACTTTGATATCTTTAAATCACAGTGTATATGCTCTGCATTCAAGAGTTGAAAGAAAAAATTTTCATGTTATATCCATTGGACAGTTGGAGGAACATGATTTTGATAGTAATCAAAAAAAGCTGAGACACTGTATGAATTCTATGGTAATTATCTGTCATAATTAACCAGTAAACACTTCCAGGACATATAGTCCGTTAGACTGATAAAATGGCTTTGTTAGTTGACCCTGTGAATTTAATTGACTCCACAGTTTATGTCTTCAGTAGGAGGTAGTGAAGTCATAAAACAGAGTCACTGAATCCAGAATTCACAATAGGTTTGACAGCTGGTACAACTTTAGCATGCCATATGAAGCTGGTGGATTGTCTCTCTCTCTTTCAGCTCAAAGACTGATAATGACTGGGAGCTTTGTTAAGACCAAACTGATACCATGTCATAACATCTATTATCACATCTATTATTTGTGCCCATCCAATGTGTCTACGACAGCATTACAGTCTCAGGACAGCTGTACAAATAAAGAGGATGAAGGTAGTCATGCTCATGTGGAAATGACAAATTAACTCAGTTAAAATGAACAGAATATTATGCCTGCTCTGCCATCTGATGCCAATAAATTCCTTTAGGATTTCAATGCCTTGTTAATTGTCTAGGTCAGGAACTACCCATGCCAAGATTATGGTCTGTTATTTTAGCACATCCTGGGCTTGACCTGCAGTAAGAAACTGACTTTTGACAAAACAAGACTATATTTTTTTTAATTAAGTATGCTTCCTAAGACTAAGACTGCAAATACTTTAAGATTGTGCAGCAAAGTATTTAATACTCTTTGGAAAAGGCAATGGCCAAGGTAATTTGGAATTACTTTTTTTTGATTGTTCTAAGACACTGAAGAGCACCTGATTTCTTGAGTGCCCTGAGCACTGTCTGAGAGAATAATATTTTAAAGGGCTCTTAACTGGGGGGGGTGGAAAAAAAGTTAATTATACTAAAGTAAATTCTTGGTTTTTGTTATTGATAAAGTTGAAAGAAGTCCAGTTACCAGCCTTCAGTTAGGACAGCACCCTATGTTACAGGCTATGTGGATTTACAAGTGATATGTGAAATGTACTTACCTTCTGTTCACATGAACAAAACTGAAAATGCCCAGCAACTCCACATAATCAGATTGTAGGCAAGTAATGTAACACCCTTTGTCATTCTGTACTAGGCTCCGGCTTGTAACCAGTCTTTCCCATTTTAGCAGGAGCAGGGCAGCGATAGGGAGGAAAGTAGAGCAGTCTGAGGGCAAGAGAGGAGGGCACACAAAGGCATTTGCAGACAGATGTTTTCTTTAGTAATTTGCTTAGTGAGGTGGGAGCATCTGCTGCAACTCTAAGCTCCACCCATGTCCTCTCCCCTTTTGGAAGAGCAGGTCTATTATACAGCAAAGCCACAGCTTCCAGGGCTTGTAGGAGTGTCCATTCTGGGAAGTTCCACTCCTCCACTGTAACTGTGTGGGACTGGGACCAAAACCATTTTCACTGTAAGTCAAGGCTCCAAAATAAACCTTATCAGTATTAACTTTATCAACATGAGATAAATCTGAAAAAGCACACAACTTGGTATTAAATCCACTTCTTGTCCTTAATGGAACAAATTTTTCTATGGTAGTGGGTTAAACATTGAGTGAGGGCCAGACTAGTATATGGCATGTACTTTATTTTCAGTTTGTTCAGAAACAGTAGATAATATAATGACTTTTCATTATTGGATAACTTCCTTTTTATAATCAGATTTTGAGCTGATTAAATGTAATAGTAACTCTCAGTGCTTGACTCTTCTTGGCATCTGTATTATGCTGCAAACTACTGGGAAATTCTGTGTTCTTTTATCCTATTCAATGATCCATCAGGAACATAGTACCTGATGATGCAGATGTATTCACAGTGAAGTGCTGAAAACATTTTCTACAGTGTACTTTTGTTTTAACTCTGTGAAATCATGAAAAGAAAAAGTATTCGATAAGCCAGTGGGTGTCACTATTGTGTTAAACAAACACAGAACAACAGCTAATTTGGCACTGACACTGTAAGAAACACCGTTAATGGCTGAAAACAGAGTTGCAAATAGACCATTTTAGACCACAAATATTAAACATCAGATTAGCAAATAAAATAAATTTTTATTGAAACAAGTCACTGTGTGGTAACATTTGGTTGATTTAAATCTACAAAAAAAAGAATGATTTTGTAGTTTTGTTTTGCCTGATGTGCAAAAGCTTGCCAATCTGAAGCAACTAAGAAAAACACTGTTTTAGTATAGTGGGACAGGGTACCAAAAGTATTACAGAAACAAAGATGCTCAACAACAAAAGGAGGGATAATTTAACAAGATCAAAACTTTAGAAAAATTTAGAAATATGTCTAATATGAAAAATACTAATTTACAGATGCTGTAGTTGGACATTGTACGTGAAGAACAGCTTCAGAAAGACCTTTCAGTGAGGACATTGGAGTGATCCTGTTCCTACTCCACATTCTGGTAAGCAGGCTTCATTCCCTACAAGTTCAAATCCTAACTCTTGGGGCCACAGAACTGCTTACTGTTCTGATCAGCTATAAGAACTTGTGGTCTGCTTCAGATATAGATATGGGGTCTAATTTCTCTAGGTCTGTTTTATTATGGTTCTCAGCGAATGTGAGTGAAATGCAATGTATAACTGGTTTCAGGAATCTTCTATTTCAAAATTGTATCATAGCTAATGTACTGGGAAAA